ACAACATCAGAGTGCAGCGCCACATTAAATGCGCACCACAATGACAATAGTTTAAAGCGATTTGAAGCATGTTTTATTATTTTTGGGGGGAGGTGGGGGGCAGAGCTTTGTGACGTCATATTTGAGGGGGAGGGGTCTGACTTTTTGTGACGCCGCGTGACGAGGGGTAGGGGGGGGTCAAAAATCGCCCAAAATCGCGTGACGTCATTTATGGACGGCCCTTTAACGTCAACCCAGACGAGGTAGTCAACAGCGTCGCGTAGCCTTCATGCAGCAGTGGCAAGATCATGGTGATGGTGGTGAGAGTACGCTGCGAGACACAGAGAGAGAATAGCTCGACGATTGGAGAAGACGCGCACGGTAAGAGACACCGCCATTACCACCACCACCACTTTGATGTTCATCCAGCATTGGATAGTCTCGCGCCATGGAGGAGGGGCGGGGGTGGTCTCGTGCCCATTGGTTTGAATGGGGGGGGGGAGGGGAGGGGCTTATTGTAGCCGTTGTTTTGATTGGTGGGTGGGGCGGTCTCGCGCCCATTGGTTTGAATTGTGGGGGGGGGGGCGGTCTCGCTCTGATTGGTTTGAATTGGGGGTGGGAGGTCTCGTGGCCAACGGTTTAAATGGCGGGGGGGGGAGAGGGGCGTCTCCTACCCAATGGTTTGAATGGGGGAGGGGGGGGTCGGTCTCGCGCCAATTGGTTTGAATGGGGGGGGAGGAGGTCTCGCGCTGATTGGTTCAAATTGTGGGGGGGGGGGGTCTCGCGCTGATTGGTTGGAATTGTGGGGGGGGGGGGGCGGTCTCGCTCTGATTGGTTTGAATTGGGGGTGGGAGGTCTCGTGGCCAACGGTTTAAATGGCGGGGGGGGGAGAGGGGCGTCTCCTACCCAATGGTTTGAATGGGGGAGGGGGGGGGTCGGTCTCGCGCCAATTGGTTTGAATGGGAGGGGGAGGAGGTCTCGCGCTGATTGGTTCAAATTGTGGGGGGGGGGGGGGGGTCTCGCGCTGATTGGTTGGAATTGTGGGGGGGGGAGGTCTCGCTCTGATTGGTTCGAATTGTGGAGGGGGGGGGAGGTCTCCGTCCCATTGGCTTGAAAGGGGGGAGGGGGTCTCGTGGCCATTGGTTTGAATGCGGGGGGGGGGGGGGGGGGAGAATGGTCTCGCGCTGATTGGTTAGAATTGTGGGTGGAGGGGGAGGTCTCCTTCCCATTGGTTCGAATTGTGGGGGGGGGGGGGGGTCTCGCGCTGATTGGTTTGAATTGTGAGGGGAGGGGGTTGGTCTCGCGCCCATTGGTTGGAATTGTGGGGGGAGGGGGAGGTCTCCCTCCCATTGGTTCGAATTGTGGGGGTGGAGGGGGAGGTCTCCCTCCCATTGGTTCGAATTGTGGGGGGGGGGGAGGTCTCGCGCTGATTGGTTCGAATTGTGGGGGGGGGGGAGGTCTCGCGCTGATTGGTTGGAATTGTGGGGGGAGGGAGAGGTCTCACGCCCATTGGTTGGAATTGTGGGGGTGGAGGGGGAGGTATCCCTCCCATTGGTTCGAATTGTGTGGGGGGGGGAGGTCTCGCGCTGATTGGTTGGAATTGTGGGGGGGGGGAGGTCTCGCGCTGATTGGTTGGAATTGTGGGGGGAGGGAGAGGTCTCACGCCCATTGGTTCGAATTGTTGGAGGGGGGGGGGGATCGTCTCGCGCTGATTGGTTCGAATTGGGGGGGGGGGTGGGGAGGTCTCGCTCTGATTGGATCGAATTGTGGGGGGGTGGGGAGATCTCCCTCCTCCCATTGGCTTGAATGGGGGGGGGGAGGGGGTCTCTTGGCCATTGGTTCGAATTGTGGGGGGGGGGAGGTCTCGCGCTGATTGGTTAGAATTGTTGGGGGAGGTCTCGCGCTGATTGGTTCGAATTGTTGGGGGAGGGGGGATGTCTCGCGCTGATTGGTTCGAATTGTGGGGGGGGGGGGAGGTCTCCCTCCCATTGGCTTGAATGGGGGGGAGGGGGTCTCGTGGCCATTGGTTTGAATGGGGGGGGGGGAGAATGGTCTCGCGCTGATTGGTTAGAATTGTTGGGGGAGGGGGGAGGTCTCGCGCTGATTGGTTCGAATTGTGGGGGGGGGGGGGAGGTCTCGCGCTGATTGGTTAGAATTGTGGGGGGGGTGGGGGGGGGAGGTCTCGCGCTGATTGGTTTGAATTGTGGGGGGGGGGGGAAAGTCTCGCGCTGATTGGTTCGAATTGTGGGGGAGGGGGGAGGTCTCGCACTGATTGGTTAGAATTGTTGGGGGAGGTCTCGCGCTGATTGGTTAGAATTGTTGGGGGGGGGGAGGTCTCGCGCTGATTGGTTCGAATTGTTGGGGGGGGGGGGGCGTTCTCACGCCCATTGGTTTGAATGGGAGAGGGGAGGGGCTGGTGTTAGGGGGGGGCGTAGCGCGCGCCACCGCCCGTCGCCGTTTTCCCGCCAAAATAAAACGTTCAAATCTCCCTCAGAGCACGCAATCAAATTAATTTTTTTGCATCGATTAAAAAAAAACACGACACAAACTCGATTTATGAAGAGAATAATATCTATAAACTATTGCTGATGCTCAAGATATTTATATAAAGATTAATATATTTGTTTTAAAATACTCGCTGAGGAGAATTCTTAAGGGAATTGCAGTCATAGCGACTCTGAGAACGTTGCATAAACCCCGACAAACGGTAAGCGCTGAATTATTTATCATTAAAATGCGAATGTAAAGTTGTAAGTTCAGATTAAATGCACGCTATTCACCGTTATCGATGACCTTAAACAATAAAATGTGAAAAAAGTTTTCTTGCTGTGGTTTTCACACATGATGATTATTATTCTTTGGTTCTTTCGGTTAAGTCACGTCTAAAGATAAAATAATAAATTAATTTAATTAATTTTATTTTATTTATTATTTTATCTTTAGACGTGACTTAACCGAAAGAACCAAAGAATAATTCCTGCAGTCACGAAAGCTCCAAAATTAAGAATGATGATGATTGCTTGTGTAGCAATCGAAACGTCGTGAGAATTCAATTGTTTTTATTATTTTATTGTTTAATTTTTATATTGTATTTGTATTATTCTATTATTCCCCTTCTACGTGATGACTTTACCGAAAGAACCAAGAATATGAATCCCTGCAGTCACGAAAGCTTTAAATCGAAATTTTAAATGTTGTTCAAAGTGCGGATTGTATCGTTAAGTCGGTTTTTTTCGACCATACTTCACCACACCCGGGTTAAATAAAGGAGGTCAATCTTACCTGGGTTAAATAAAGGATGTATGTCACACCTGGGTTAAATAAAGTATGTCTTGTCACCTGGGTTAAAGGAAGGAGATCAGTCACTAGAGATGATGGATATCAATGGGTACTCTCACCTGGGTTCAATAAAGGATATCTCACACCTGGGTTAAATAAAGGAGGTCAGTCTTACCTGGGTTAAATAAAGGAGGTCAGTCTTACCTTGGTTAAATAAAGGATGTCTTACACCTGGGTTAAATAAACGATGTACGTCACACCTGGGTTAAATAAAGGATGTTTCACACCTGCGTTAAATAAAGGATGTCAGTCACTAGAGATGATGAATCTTAATCGGGGCTATCACCTGGGTTAAATAAAGGATGTCTCTCACCTGGGTTAAATAAAGGAGGTCAGTCTTACCTTGGTTAAATAAAGGATGTCTCACACCTGGGTTAAATAAAGGATGTCTCACACCTGGGTTAAATAAACTATGTCTCACACCTGGGTTAAATAAAGGAGGTCAGTCACTAGAGATGATGAATCTTAATCGGGGCTATCACCTGGGTTAAATAAAGGATGTCTCTCACCTGGGTTAAATAAAGGAGGTCAGTCTTACCTTGGTTAAATAAAGGATGTTTCACACCTGCGTTAAATAAAGGATGTCAGTCACTAGAGATGATGAATCTTAATCGGGGCTATCACCTTGGTTAAATAAAGGATGTCTCACACCTGGGTTAAATAAACTATGTCTCACACCTGGGTTAAATAAAGGAGGTCAGTCTTACCTGGGTTAAATAAAGGAGGTCGGTCACTAGAGATGATGAATCTCAATCGTCTGTGTAGCGACATCGCGGGATGTCACTGTAATGCTGGCCCTAGAGAGTCACAGCGTGCGGTGTAGCGACACCAAGTGCACCACTCGGGTGTGGGTGCAGTACCGGGCTCTAGAGGGGCTCGGTGAGCGCTGATCGACAGCGCTGGATGGCACCGCGATCTGCGTGCAGTGCCGGCCCCTACAGGACAGGGTGCGGGAGTGCCGGCCGTAGGGAAGGGGTTACTGAGGGTCGTGGCACTCTGGTTGACCCCAAAGGACACGTGACCGGTTAAGTCTACAAAGGAGCCCAAACGGGGGCTGGGGGGTGGTCACGTGGTCCGGGTCCAGATCCTGCTGGAGGATTCTGGAGGGTGGGCGTGGCTAAGGGCGAGCCGGCCACGACCGCGGAGGATATAAGCCGGGGTCCCCCAGAGGGACCGGCGCTGATTGTTCATCCTCAAGAAATCTACGCTCTACGTCCTACGTTCTACGTCACTACAGAGTCGCCAACACGTGGACCTGGACCCAAGCTGTGGTCCTGGTCCGTCGTAGCGAGTCACGTTGTAATTGGTGTAGTTAGCCTGATGGTCACCACCGTAGGTTGTTATTCTGTTAAGGGGCAGTTACCCCTTGTGTTGGTATTAATAAATGTGTTGCCTCCAGAGTACGTCTGCGACTCAGTTGAATACACTACATTTGTATAAGGCACCAATGCGGATTTTGAAACGTGCTTTAGCGGCGACAGCAAGAAGGACAATAACCCGATTCGGAATACAATGAATCTTAACAATATTTGTAATGTATTAACTATGCCTTGACTCGTTATGCGCTGTTGATACGCTAAGCAAAAGGACGCCAACCAAGTGGAGGATAATCATTTATTGACAACCAACTACAACCAAATTTTTACTTAAAACTTTTCGTGACTGCAGGAATTCATATTCTTGGTTCTTTCGGTAAAGTCACATAGATAGAAAATAAACATTAAAATAATTTTTTTATTTTAGATTTTCTATCTGCGTGACTTTATCTGAAAGAACCAAGAATACAAGTACAACCGACTCTTCGAAACGCTCGGCAACAGTAATAGCACACTTTTACATAAGCTTGTATTTGACCAGCTTAACTCAGCCAAACCCGCGTGTCGACAATCACAGAACACCGCAGCAACAAAACGGATACGGAACGACGCGACGACCGTTCCGAGCAACCCTTACACACACTCCTCTCCTGGGTGACGGGGCAAAGCAGCAGAAGCCCAGGGGTGTGCAAATTTGCTCCCGAGGTCGCGTACAGCCAAAGGGGATACCCCCGCCCCCTATCAGGACCCAACGGTAGTGGCGCACTCCCAGGATTCAGCACGAAGAAATCAACCTCGGCCTTGATTTGCGCTTAAGACTTTCGTGACTGCAGGAATTCATATCCTTTGGTTCTTTCGGTAAAGCCACGTAGAAAAAAATAAATAAATCATGAAATACAAAAAATTTGCCATCATTTTTATTTAATTAAATTTTCTTTTTCTTTTCTATCCACGTGACTTTACCGAAAGAACCAAGAATATTTGATTTGCGCTCAACGGCACTCTTATTAGCTCCACGCAATGGCGGAGCCAGGATTTTCAGGTAGGGGGGGCAACCCCTCCAGCAATGAAAAATGATAGGAGTTGTTAGATAGTAAGGACTTGTCCCTTGCTTTTTATTCAACGCGTGTGCGGCGATGGCACAGCCATCGATCGAGGGTCGATTTTGAACCGTGTGTGATCGGCATCATGCTCGCTGAAGGTGTTTGCCTTCAGGGAAGTCGTGTTCTGTATACGCAACTGCGCACAATTCTGCGAGTCACTTATAACCGCTTTGCCGTTACTTATCGCCAATGATGGACTCAGACTATTGTCCTATCATCTCATAGAGGCCCTGGCACAATAATATGCTACACAGTGGCAGTGGGGGTCGCAAAATGCCGATTTATTACTAATAAACCCCAATGATCCGATCGAAATTGGGGATTTTGATCGGATCATTGGGGGGGCACATGCCACCCAAACCCCCCCCCCTCCCCCCCACTGGCTCCGCCAGTGGTTCTGACCCCGTGCCCCTACTGGACGTTTGTGAAAAATAGCTTGATGGCTCAGGGGGTTTCTCCTCCAGTATGAATAAATATTCAGATTTCTGAAATTGAGGGTCACTTCAGCAGAGAAGAGCTGGGAGGAGTTCTTAATGGAGGCGATGTCTTTTTTAAAAATGCAAGCCTTATTTGTTAAATTACATGGCCAAGCAAGGGGCGAGAGGAGCGGGCAGGGGTGGGAAGGGACAGAGGAGGGAATTGACGATGTGGGACTCTCATTTGCACTTCCTGGATGCGTCTTAGCATGTGTGCTTAAGGGCCATCTTAACGTGTATATGCTAAAGGAAATCACTTAACAAGCGGCAATAAAATTACGACCTTGAATTGCAGAGGATCACAGTGAGCTGGTGCAAAAGGTAAAACTATTTTTTTTTTAACAATGTGGGACTCTTTATTGCACTTCCCGATGCTTCTTAACATATGTGCTAAAGGACCATCTTAACTTATATACTAAAGTGCCATCTTAACGTATACACTAACGTGCCACCTTGACGTATATGTACTAAAGAACCATTTAAACGTGTAAATGCTAAAGGACCATCTTAATGTGTATATTGCTAAAGGAAATCATTTAACAAACGCCGATTAAATTACAGCCTCAAATTGCTTAGGATCACAGTGAGCTGGTACAAAAGGCAAAACAAAATTAGATTGAAAAAAAGATCTGAAATGTGAATCTGGCTTAACAAAGCTCACATGTTACGAAAGATGGAGTTAAACTTGGGGTGTTGATCTCGAAGTCCCCAAAGAACCTCCAAGAACAGCCTGGGCTTTACCCGGCTCTTCCCCAACGTGAGCTCTAACACGTGCTTTGCCGCCACGTCCCGTCCGTGTTTGTTCTCCATTGCTCTCAGGTCCTGCAAAGCATCACGTCGTCGCTGCATTAGTGTACAAACATAAACGTCATTCTAAAGCTAAACTAAAAACTTATTGTTATTTTGCCCGGTAAGGCCCAGCTGAGATGATCATCGATTATCCCGGCGCACGGTTATCCGGCTGCTTCCAGCATTATACGGCAGTCCAGCGGACGATCCGAGGAAAGCGGCAAAACCAGTTCGGCGATCATCAGACACACGGTTGTGTTAAAATGAGAGCGTAGTAAGTATATATTGAGTCACTATGGCGTCTAGCGCCAGCTACTGGAAGAAGAGTGGTAATGTGCATGTTGGCGTCTTTTTCTGGCACCGGAGTGTATATAGCATAGACACAGCCCTCAGGGGACATGCTTCTGGTGGTGGCCAGAAAGAGGGAACTTCAGGACATCACAGTCTGGGTGAACCTGAGAGGGCACGTGACCAGGAGAGGGTAGCGAGGGGGGCCAAGTGACATAAGGTCCAGAACCTTCTAGTAGGATCTAGATGGGGGTGTGGCCTAGGGCGGAGCCAGGCCACGCTCAGGGGCACAAAAGGGAAGTCCCGAGCGCCGATCCGGGCTGTCTTTTATAATCAACCCGCCGTGCTACGTTTCTTTGGTTGTCACTCTTCGGACGTTACGCTCAGCTTCGTGGGTCAGGCAGTGCATCACTGACTGACCCAGTTATCTAGTTACCGCATTGTGGTCTAAGTTACTCGTTATCCCGTACGTTTATGCAGTTACCCTGTTGGGGTGTTAGAATAAACGTGTTGCCTCCAAGTTCAAGTGTTTGTCTCCATGGAACCCACTACTCGTAAATCTCCACATGCAGTGTCTTCGAGATTAGAGTGGTAAATACTGTACGGTAGATACAATAACTTTTAACAGTAGAATATTTATTTGCGTCTATTTGCATGTTTATTTAGACCAATTTCACATAGTAAACTAAATTAAAAACACAAACAAACATATACACAACACCTAAAACATAATGTCATGCAATAATGTGCAAAGATACGATATTTTAAATAATGATGACGTAGTAATAATTATCCGGCGTTTTTTTTTATTCTGGTGCCCCCTTCCCCCCCGAAGACCACCGGATAATCGAGGATCTACTGTAGCTCTCTTTTCATAAGTGACCTGGCCACAAATGATAGCTCAACGAAGTGGCTTATCATGTGGAGATTTCTAGATGCCATATAACTTGAAACGCATGTTGATTCTAAATGTGGAGAGAAAAGCTGGAGGAGCCGGAAAAAAAATCCACGTGACCACAGGGAGAGAGACAAGCAAACTCCAATTATACAGCAGATGTCAGGGTCGGGATCGAACCCACGGCCTCCTGCATACCAGGCGAGGTGGTCAACATCTCATCACCGTGATGATGAGAGAGACATGCAAACTCCAATTATATAGCAGGCATCAGGGTCGGGATCGAACCTAGAGCCTCCTGCATACCAGGTGAGATAGTTAACATCTCATCACCGTGATGATGATGAGAGAGAGAGGGAGACATGCAAACTCCAATTATACAGAAGGTGTCAGGGTCGGGATCGAACCCACGGCCTCCTGCATACCAGGCAAGGTAGTTAACATGTCATCACTGTGATGATGATGAGAGAGAGATATGCAAACTCCAATTATACAGCAGGTGTTAGGGTCGGGATTGAACCCACGGCCTTCTGCATACCAGGCGAGGTAGTTAACATCTCATCACCGTGGCACTCATACCATTCTTACCTGAAATACCTACAAATGACCCAAGTGTCTCACTTTCCATTCCATCAAGGATCTTATGTTATATCTTATGTTATTGCAACCTTTTGGTCACGCAGATGAGTGGTTTATTGTCTCTCTGTGTTTACCTGCTGAGAATAATCCTGTAATGGTCCATCTTGCACAGTCTGTAGACTGCATTATCTTTGATCATGAGCATGAGCACCCCTTAATCCGCATTAACTGAATGATGACGTGTCTTTAACAGATATCAAAAATGAACGAGTTAAAAAACTCAAGGTTTCAGCGAGTGCTCACAACGTCTTGAGCCTCCGCTGTGAAAACCAAAGCCAACACAATACCTGTGCGATGGTTTTGCTGAAGTAGTTTCTTTTTTCCAGGCAGGTGAGCAGGGGTTCCAGATCATCTTGTATAGCTTCGGATATGTCTTTCTTGTTGAAGCGAATATGGCCATATAACCCTTTGTCCTTGTACTGATCCAAAAACAAAGGGGCCTTGGTCAAGAGCATCTTGAGGAACCCTGAAAGACAGTGAGTAGTGGCGATTGAGGATTATTGAGAAGAAATGAAAAGTACGATTGATGCACGTGGTGGCGCACACCTCTAGTCCAGCACTTGTGAGTGGACCGATCTCCATCTCTTTCATCTGTATGGGATAGAGCATTGCCCCATCGCGCACACAAGTGGTATTTTTTGCTCCGGGTGTTGGAAACTATTCTTTGTTGTTTCATTTTGCTGGGATGTATTTGTCTTGCACCTAGCAGTAAAACTACAAACTATGTAAGGGATATGGGACCTTTTTACCAGTATCAAATCTATGAGAAACATATATTTGGTGTTTGAACATCTTAACACCTGTTTTATTTCCACAAAGGGAAAAACCTATTCTTATTTTATCATTTACGGAATATGTTGCCGACATTTCAGTTGCTTTGTCCAATCGCTTGCATGATTGCATAATAATGAATGATACATCGACGGACAATCCTGTAGATGCTTCCACTCGTGGTATCGGCAAATTGTGCACGAAGGATGAGTTGAATGAAACAACAAAGAATAGTTTCAAGTGAAAAACTGATCCGCATGGGGCTCATTCCCAGTCGACAACAAGAGTCACACAAAGTAGAATCATTTTAATGCAGACGTCAACTGGGAGGGAGTCATAACGTGGATGATATCTGTGGGAAGTTTGAAGGTGTTCAAAGACGTTTAAACTCACTGAGGGAGCTCAGCCACTTCTTGACGTCGGGGTACTTGTTCTTCACGATGTGCAATGCAAACAGCAGCTTATCGCAGTCGTCGTTGCCCCGTCTGATGAAGAAGTCGAGCAAGATCTCGGCATGGTCCTCGTCGCTGTTTGCCGATTTCGTTTTGGCTATGATGTCGCCTGGAATCATAGACTGGTTGATGAGCTGCAGCAGAAGGTGTCGTGGGTTCACGCCGATCCAAGCCTTCAGCTGTGGCTTGGCTTTTGTAACAGCCAACACTGCTTCCCCTGTGACAACGGAAAATGCAGTGTACAGGCAGTCCTCGACTTAAGAACGCCTGTTCTTACGAACACCACCTGCAATTACGAACACCACCTGCACTCACGAACAGCACCTACACTTATGAACACCACCTGCAATTCCGAACACCACCCACACTCATGAACACCCGTACTTATGAACACCCGACTTACGAACACCCGCACTTACGAACACCCGACTTAAGAATGGCTCCCTATTGGTCAACCATGTTATATATGCTGATGATCTGGTGATTGCTGCTCACTCAGAGGAGGAGTTGGAGGCACTGCTGCTGAACCTGGAGTGTGCCACTAATAGGTAGGGCCTTACCATCAGCCCCACCAAAATTAAGCCCCTGCCTGGGTATTTTGTACCATCAGACACTCCACCCCACAACTCCCAATTGGTGATGGGGCAGTTGTGGAGAGAGTAGAGAGTTTTCCATACCTGGGCAGTGTGCTCATGACCGGCTATGGTTTGACAGCAGAGATCTCACTTCGAATCAGTCGAGTGGAATTATCTTTTGATTGGCTGCGCAACAATGTGTGGAAGTTACCTGGTCTGTCGCTCCGCACGAAGCTTGATGTCTTCTTGGCCACGGTCATGCCCTCCCTTCTCTACGCTTGAGAAACGTGGACCCCCCTAATGGAACATCTTCCCTGGTTAGAAACATTAGACTGGCCTACAATCCATCCTGGGTTTAACCAGGCTGGATTGCGTGAGGAGCTCACAAATCCTTGAAAGATGTGGACAGAGTCCCATCAGTGAGCTCCTCTGGCAGGCAAGGCTGCGTTGGCTGGGTCATGTATCCCTCATGCCCAGCAACCGCATCCCTAAACAGCTTTTGTTCGGCTGGATAGAGGGGTCTAAACGGGTGCAGCACTGGCTAGAGAAGAGATGGAGTGATATGGTACAAGAGGATGCAGAGCTGAGTGGACTTGTCAATGACTGGTACCAGCGGTGGAGGAGGCTCGTGAAGGACGCTACTGGAGGCAGTCGCTCTCCAGCAACAACGGAGGGCAGAGGAGTGACGCTCACAACAATGAGCAGAGCGCCGGCGGCTAAAACACAGCAAGTTGGAACAGTAGGGTGCACAGGTGGTGCATCGGCCAGTCGTCTCAGTCAGTCGACCCGTGGCACCTGCTGGGTCTGTCCCGTGACCTGCCAGCGGGCGTTCGACACTTGACATGGCCTTAACATGCACATGGCCTGGCACAAGTGCCGTGGAGACGTCAACGCCACTTAGTGGCGAGTGGCGGTTGTTGTTGTGTGTGTGTGTTCAATTGTGGTGACTCATTGTCACCCTTTCGACGAACATGCCAGCATCAGGACTTAAGGTAAGTGAAAATATAACAGTATTTTTTCCTATTCATGTTACGTTTCATTTACCATATAGTATTTATTACATGCAAATGTAGAATATTTCTTCTTTATGAGTTTAACAATGCTTCCTATTTTTTCGTTCCGTAATACGTTTAATAAATTCTGACCGTATGGGCATTTAAATACATTTACATTAGTATGTTCAGACCTACGAACCGTTTTAAATTTCCAACGGGTCTCTGGAGCAAATCATGTTCGTAAGTCAAAGGACTGCCTGTAATTATACTTCTTTTTTATTAAAATGAACATTAAATGATTTAATTTGAGCACCGTGTATTTTAATTGACAATTCGAAGCAATTTGACGTGATGTTTATTGTGGTGAATAGTTGAAGGACCACGCATACCCTTTTCGTTGAACATCTTCCACAGCTGCAGGTAGTTTTTTCTAACGGCGTAGAGAGCGTTCCAGAGCCTGAAGTACTCCTTCCCTCCCTGGTTGAGGAAGTGGTGAAGTAGAAACTCCACGCAGTCCTCTCCACCCTTGCTTTCGGCCGTGCTGTAAACTTTCCGTGTGATTGTGCAGTTGTTGATCAGATGCTCCAGGAGAGGGGTCGGGTTCTCACCGACCCATTCCTTTAGCTCCTCTGCGTATTCCTGCATCACCCCCCTTACCGTTTCATCAGCAATGTCACCGTCTGCCTGTGAATTACAAACATAGAACTCTCACGGGGATGCCTCCAGCAGTCCTAAAATCCAAGGTTGCCTACTCGAGGTGGCTGAATAAATAATCGCGGAATGTCACTGTGTAATGCCGGCCCTAGAGAGGCACAGTGTGCGGTGTAGCGACATCGCAGACACCACTCACGTGTGGGTGCAGTACCGGGCCCTAGAGGGGCTCGGTGAGCGCTGATCGACAGCGCTGGATGGCACCGCGATCGGCGTGCAATGCCGGCCCCTACAGGATGGGGTGCGGTAGTGCTGGCCATGTGAATGGGGTTACTAATGACCCCAGAGGACACGTGACCAGTTAAGTCTACACAGGGCCCCCAAGTGGGGGCCAGCGGTGGTCACGTGTCAGGGTCGAGATCCTGCTCGAGGTTTCGAGAAGGTGGTCGTGTCTAAGGACGGAGCAGGCCACGACACAAGATATAAGCCGGGCCCCCCAGAGAGACAGGCTGATGTTGTTCATCCTAAAGAAACCTACGTTCTACGTCACTACAGAGTGTCCAACACATGGACCTGGACCCAAGCTGTGGTCCAGTCCGTCGTAGCTAGTCATGTTGTAATTAATTTATGTAGTTAGCCTGGTGGTCACCACCATAGGTTGTTATCCTATTGTAATAAAAGGACTCGGACACTTCCTTCTGTCTTCGTGTCTTTTATTGGGTTCTCGTCTTCACCCACACGGCACTCTGTTATAACTCTGTATTTGTAGCCCCCGGCTATTCACTGCTATTATAGCTTCTTCTTCCCTCTGACTCTCTGCTTCATCTACTGTAACCTCCTCCCTGCAGACTCGCTGCTACCTCTATGCAGACTCCCGCTGCTACCCCTATGTGCAGACCCTCTGGCTGCCACTGTATGCAGACCCGCTGCCCACTCTCTCTGTGCAGCCCCGCTGCTGACTGCAGCCTCCTCGCTGCCTCGGGTCGGTCACCGCTGGCCAACGGTGCCGATCCTCGCTCCCCCCGTATTCGTGGCGATCTCGCCACACTCCGCTTCGCCCTTCGTGGCCTCTCTCTGTCCCTGGTTCCCCGTCACTGCCTATCCTCTTCCGGTTCCCCTCCTTCTATAGCTCAACCCCTCTCCCCCCACGTGACCTAACTCCTCCCCTCATGACGGCACCTCCGGAGGGCCGTTTACGCCCGCATTACATCACCCTCCCCCATAAAGAAAATCCAGCCGACCTCGGCTGAATTGCAACCTGAAAAGCAATGCGGGTGTAAAGGGCCAATACCTAAAAAGACACGAAGCATGCAAGAACAATATAACAATGAACACAACACAATCTAATGAAACGTGAGGGATTTCGAGCGAGTACGGGCAGCCGGGCCGTCCCGGACGGTCGGCAGACCACCCGCCGAGCGGGAACGTGGAAGGGTTTTAGGGGCGACGGGCGCAAGTTCTTCCGTCGCCATTGGAGGCCCGCCACTGTCCCGCTCGCGTCCAGAGACATCCCGTACTCGCGTCCGCGGAGGGATAGGAAGAGCTGCAGGTCCCGTGGGTTCTGCGGCTCCAGTCGACGTCCCACGAGCGGAACGTCCTCCCTGCGCTGTCACGGCCGGCTTGTCTGTGAAGGGTACGACAGGCGCTCTTGCAAGGTCAGCAGACACAGGCAAGGGCGAGTCGGCAGCAACAGACCCCGGCAAGGCAACTTCGGGAGATGACGCATCCGGCCGCGGGGCAATGTATGGCTTCAACCGGGATGTATGCACGAACCAGCGCCGTGAACCAACCTGAACACGCGCCGACTGTGGGTTGGGAACCTCAATGAGGCGGACCGGACCCTGCCAAGGTCTATGTAATTTAGGAGAGGTACCTGGCCGCACCTGTGGGCAATGAAGCCAGGCCAGGTCCCCCTTTTTCCAGGGGCACTCCCCCTTTGAACGTCGGGCACACCGCTCATTCCTGGCCTGAGCCTTGGCAGTAGCCATGCGGGCACTTTCCCTCGCCTCAGCGACACGCCGAACGTTGTCCTTAATATACTCAGGAAGAGGGTTAACAGGCCCCCTCGCGCCGGTTCCCAACTGTTCATTAATCGGCGGCACATTCTCACGGCCGTACATAAGGAAGAACGGCGAGTATCCAGTAGCCGCGTGCGGCGTCATGCGATACGCCGAAAGCACCCCAGGGATATGCAAATCCCAATCAGATTGATTTTCCCCGACTGTATGGCAGAGCATGGCGGACAGAGTCCGATTCAACCGTTCCACCATACCATCCGTTTGCGGGTGGTAGGGGGACGTCCGTATCTTTTTAGTTCCAAGAGCCGCACACACCTCCCCCAACAATTTGGACGAAAAGTTACGTCCTTGATCCGTAAGGAGCCTCTCCGGCGCCCCTTTGTCCATTACATACCCAAATAGAAAGGCGTCAGTGATAGACGCCGCTGACTGGTCAGGCAAAGGCCAGGCCATCGGCCAGCGAGAGAGGTACTCAACCCCCACCAGTAAATACTTATTTCCCTTAGCGGATGGCGGAAAGGGTCCCAAAATATCTAACGCCACCAGCTCATTAACCCGAGATACTTTAATCGATTGTATCGGCGGAACATATGGATGTTTAGGCGGTTTACGGCGGGCGCAATCGGGACACGCGCGAACGTGACCGACGACATCCGTCGTCATGCCGTGCCAATAATAGTCTCGTTGCAGCGTCAATAGGGTTTTCTGCACCCCCAGGTGTAAAAGTGTGTCACAGTGCAAAGATCTAATCAACTCATACCGCAATGACGCAGGCACAACGAGACGCCAGTGTTCCTGTATCCCTTCCCTCCACATCAGTAACCCATCTCGGAGAGCAGTTTCCGAAATACCACCCGCACCGACTTCCTTACCCGTCTTCTCCGTTCGTTTTCGTAACGACACCAAAGAATCGTCCAACATTTGCTCCCGAATCCACACAGACCTTGGAAGACGCAAAATCCCGTCAGCCGGTCCCCCATCAACCGGTCCCGGTGTAAGCGGAGTTTCGAGAACATCCACTGCCAGCGCGACAGGCTGAGGGGGGGGCTGAGTCGGTCCACACCTATGCGTCCCCGACGCACACGCACAAGGGGATTGTTGCGGCAACCTGGACAGTGCGTCCGCGTTAGCGTGACGCACACCCTTCCGATGGTGAATTTGGAAGGAGAATTCTTGCAACGTGTCCAGCCATCTCGCCAATTGTCCGGATGGCTGGTCCATCTTAAGAGCGTACTGCAAGGCCGCATGGTCCGTGCGGACAATAAACGACCGACCGTACAGATACGGTCGAAATTGTCGGAGAAAAAACACAATAGCCAAAAGTTCCCTGCGAGTGACGCAGTAACGGGTTTCCGCGGGAGACAAAACCCGACTCCCATACGCCACCACACGCTCAACACCACCTTTTGACTGGGACAACACCGCCCCAATACCAGTGTCACTCGCATCAGTATCCAGAATGAAGGGATGTTCAAAATCCGGATAATCCAACGTCGGCGCAGTAGCCAGTAAATCGCGCAGGCTCCGAAACGCCGCCTCCTCCGGCGGTCCCCACACAAATTTATGCCCCTTCCCAGTAAGGAGATGCAAAGGCCTGGCGATAGTAGCGAAATTCGGAACAAACCTCCGATAATATGAGGCGAACCCCAAAAACCGACGCACATCACCCACCGTGGCCGGGGTTGCCCAATCCCGGACACACGCAGTTTTCTCTGGATCCGTGGCCACCCCGTCCGCACTAACAATATGTCCCAAGTATCGAACGGAGCGTTGCAGTAGATGACATTTCTTAGGCTTGAATTTCAAATTAGCAGAACGCATTCTGGCAAATACAGCCTCCAACCGCAATAAATGCTCATCAAATGTGCGGCTGAAGACAATAATATCATCTAAATAAATGAGACATGTCTCCCACTGCAACCCCGTCAATACCAACTCCATCAATCTCTGAAAAGTGGCAGGGGCTGCATTCAACCCCATCGGCAGACAGTTAAATTGGAACAACCCCTGCGGCGTACGGAAAGCTGTCTTTTCCCGCGAGGGCTCGTCAAGGGGGAGCTGCCAGAAGCCCGAAGAGAGATCTAGCGTTGAAAAAAACTTAGCCCCTGACAAGGCGTCGAGAGAATCGTCCATACGCGGCAGGGGATACGCATCTGCCACCGACACTTTATTCAACTTCCGAAAATCCACACAAAATCGTAATTTACCATCCTTTTTTTTAACCAACACAACAGGCGCGCCCCACGGGCTATTAGACGGAGATATAATATCCGCTTTCAACATGTCTTCCACTGCCCCTCGAATATGCTCACGCTCAGCCGGACTCATCCGACGCGAGTTCAAGCGGATAGGGGCAGCGTCCCCCGTGTCGATATGATGAGAGAGCAGCGAGGTGCGTCCCAAGTCCAAATCGTCCGAGCTAAACACATCGGAATAGCTCGATAATAATTTATGAATCGCACAACGCTGCTCGGCGGAAAGGGCCGAATTTTCCCCACATAATTCGGCGATCCAACGATCATCCACCCCTCCATCGTGTGAAACACCACCCACCAGCCCCCCGTCCGGCAGGTCACTCTGAGCCGTAAACGCCGTAGTGGCGTGTGCCACAACGGTACCAGCCGGCACACACACACTTTCAGTACTCGCATTTAACACCTGCAAAAACGGGCGCTGATCCGGACGGACAATCGTTTGCGCCCCCACCAGTGCCAATCCGCCCGTAACAGCGGCGGACGGCGACAGCAAAATCCCAAAAGCACCCTGCCGACCCGGAACCGGCTTCCGGTATCGTAGGGGAATGAGCATCTGCGAGCCAGGTGGAATATCAACCGAAACTTCTGATAACGCCTGCACCTGGGCGACCGGAGCCGGTCGCCCCCAGGTGGACTGTAAGAACGCCAATTTGCGGCCCCCTGGTAGTTCAATGCAATTTTCATTGATTCTAATTAGAATGGGCATCTTAGCCAAAAAATCCGTACCCAACAGGCAAGGAACCGCCAGGGACCTCGAAATTAACACAACGCCCGAGGCCGAGACACCCCCGATTGAAATGTTAGCGTCCACCTGTCCCACGATGCCCATACTACCCCCGTTCGCAGCGATGCAGGAAGCGTAAGCCGGCCTCACGGCCCCCGGTGGGATGTTCAAAAGATGGAATATCACATCCGAAATAATGGTCGCGGACGCCCCGGAATCCACCAAAATACGTACGTCCACCCCTTGGATCGACCCCGGTACAGTGGACGAACCGGTAGCGGCCGCGACAACCCGCCGAGCCAGCTTACGCCACTGCGTTATCGAGCGACAAGGCGCAGATACTGGCCTCCCGTATTTTACAACATCCGCGTCGCATAACAACGGCGATGAGTGAGGTGTCAGGCCTTGCCGGGTGTCTGGTGCGCACCGACTTGCCTGTGCCGGAGGGTCTTTCTTTGGGGCGTCCGCTGTCGAGGCCTCCTGCTGGGGCGGCCCCGGAACCCGGGCCCAGCAGTCCCTGGCATAGTGGCCCCGACAGCCGCAGCGGAAGCAGTCGACGTCGGCGCGGCGCGCAGCGGGCACCCCGTCCCGACGCGGCCGCGCCGGCGGCGGAGCCCGCGGCCCTGGCCCGCTTCGAGCCGGCCACGGAGTGGAGGCGGCCGACAACTCCTTTGGGCCGGTCGCATCCGGCACGTACACGGCCTTTGTAGGGTCCCACCCTACGGCCCCCCCATCGACGACAGGACCGCCCGTCCACGCCGTGACTTGTTTCCAGCGGCGGAGATTGAACTGGGCGTCCAAACACTTGGCCGCGGCCCGGGACGTGAGTTTTTCGTGACCGCACGCCGGCATAGGAATGCCCAGATCCTGGGATAACTCCAACATCTTCCCCAAGATGAGAGGTTCCAGCAGGTCAGGCTCCGTCTCCGGGTAAGCGGCCATAGCGAGTTCCAACACGGCGCCCCTGTACGCTACAGGCGACTCCTCCGGTGCGCGTTGCCGCTGCACGAAGCGGCGATGGGCGTCATCCGGTGGCTCGTACGCGTCCGCCATTTCATCGAACACCCCACGCAGAGTTTTCTTCTTCGCAGCTTTTATAGAGCGAAAAAAACGAACGGACTCATCATCAAGAAGAGTCGGAAGCACCTCCAGTGCCTCAGCGTCCGTCCACCTTGCCGTACGTACCGCCGCCAAAAATCTACAGGCGAACGCACTCCAATCGCCCCCGATGGAGAACTCTTTGACGGTTGTAAGGTGACGACTGTGGCCCCTTGGCCTGCTTCCGTCCGTCGCTGACTCTTCCGGCGGTAAGTTCAGCAAGGCGTCGCAACGCGGTGTCGCCAAGATGGCGGACGATCCTCGCGGCGGCCCCAAAATGGCGGCTTCCCGCCTTGTGGCCGATGGCGGCGCCATCGAAGACAATCCGGGCTCCTGCCGATCACCACCATCCCCCTCCAACGCCGCCCTTGGCGTGACAAGGTCACACAACTCAGTGATGACGGTTTTAAGAGTCGCCAGCTGCTCCGCCATTCGGGTCCATCTTAAATCTTCGTCCTTCAACGCAGACGGGGCGGACGCAGCGGCAACCTCCTCGACACCCGGGCCCTCACGGATCTCTCCCTCCGCCGAAGTGAAGCCGACCTCAGGAGGAAGATCGTCATCGTCCGATGATGAAGCCGACGCCGGAGATGGGATATTCTTTTTCCTCAGTTGTTTCGCCATGCCGCTTCACTTCTGACTCCAGTGTAATAAAAGGACTCGGACACTTCCTTCTGTCTTCGTGTCTTTTATTGGGTTCTCGTCTTCACCCACACGGCACTCTGTTATAACTCTGTATTTGTAGCCCCCGGCTATTCACTGCTATTATAGCTTCTTCTTCCCTCTGACTCTCTGCTTCATCTACTGTAACCTCCTCCCTGCAGACTCGCTGCTACCTCTATGCAGACTCCCGCTGCTACCCCTATGTGCAGACCCTCTGGCTGCCACTGTATGCAGACCCGCTGCCCACTCTCTCTGTGCAGCCCCGCTGCTGACTGCAGCCTCCTCGCTGCCTCGGGTCGGTCACCGCTGGCCAACGGTGCCGATCCTCGCTCCCCCCGTGTTCGTGGCGATCTCGCCACACTCCGCTTCGCCCTTCGTGGCCTCTCTCTGTCCCTGGTTCCCCGTCACTCCCTATCCTCTTCCGGTTCCCCTCCTTCTATAGCTCAACCCCTCTCCCCCCACGTGACCTAACTCCTCCCCTCATGACGGCACCTCCGGAGGGCCGTTTACGCCCGCATTACACTATTAAGGGGCAGTTACCCCATGTGTAGGTGTTAATAAATGTGTTGCCTCCAAAGAGTACGTCTGCGACTCTCACTACAAATGTATATGTTTGTACCTTGAACTTTTCACCGTACGTAGCCAACCGTGCTAATCGGAGGTGCAGGGGAAGAACAAGAATCTAAACACGGCGTTGAGTCTATGGGCAGTGTTTGAGTCTATGGGCAGTTTTGAGTCTATGGTGCAGACGCGACCCGGCTATCACAAATAACAGCTCAATGAAGTGGCTTATCGTCATGTGGATATTTACGGCAGGAAAATAATCTAACCGCAAGTTTCTAAATGTGGAGGGAAAAACCGGAGTACCCGGAGACAAATCCACGTGACCACGGGGTTAGAGACACGTAAACTCGAAATATACAACAGGCGACAGGGTCGGGATCGAATCCACGACCTCCTGTATACAAGGTAAGGTAGTTAACATCTCCCGCCACGTTTTTCGAGGGTCCAAGGCTGCATGGCACGTGTTGCCACGCCTCTCCCAATGCCCATCGTAGTCCACTAAATCGCAATTATTTGTGCATACAATTTTCCCACAGTGATGTGACGATACACCACCGCGGGTCGGACGCATTGTATCACTTATTGTAAGCTCGCTGGAGCCACCATGCACGCCACTGGAGAGTTCCTAATCGATGTCAACGTCGTCCGCCGTTACCTGGGTCCCGTGCTTTTCGACGACAAGGAGCGGTGCCGCCTCTTCGTACCCGGCGCCTGTGAACGCATCGCAGGGAGCATTACAGAGATGCAATGGCAATGGCAAGAAGTTCGCTTTTGCTGTCGCGCACTGCTTTCAGATGCGCTGCTTCTGCGGCCGTCTGGAACGCCTCCTTCCGATATTAGGAAGCCACTGGTAGCGATGCACTTTAAATCATCGTCGAGATTGACAAAACTCATTTCTTTTAAACTGCCTTTTGTGTATAGTTTGTTGTCCGTCCCCTCGCACCTTTGATTAGCCACAATATGGTGCAAAAATAAGTCCTACACACATACATGTGAAGCTTTAAGAGATAATATGACTATCATATATAAAAAAAATTAATTGTAATCATTGTCAAACCAGTAAAATCACTGTGCGTGTGTCTGTTGAGCTTCTTTTGTCCCACTGTACATAGCGCACCGTAGCTAATCGGAGGTGCGCACCGGTATACCGCTGATCTGCTCAATCAGACTTACGAGAGAGCTTCTGTCTCCGTCTATAAACGATGAGGATGGCAGTTGTAGCGATCAGTGAGAGTGCAGCGATGCATCCCAACACGATGGTTGCTGGTAATGAAAAACAAAAAACAAGGGAAAAACAAAACATCAAATCAGTTCCGCCGATCTATGGATAAAAAAGCGTGCTGAAGACAGTCAATGTGAGCATTCGAAAACGGCCCGTGATGTGCATGGCAGACCTCGACGAAAGCAGGTGTTACGTTCCTCAGAAAATTCCTCCCAAAAAACGCATTCTGACGCAATAATCGACCTCACGGTCCATAAACGGTCACGCTTCTCCCCTCTTGGTTCAGCAGGCGATTTTCATCGCCTGCTATTGCACTATGTTGAGTCGCTCTCTCCCTTTTTCTTGGGTGTGCGTGTGTGTTAGGAGAGCGGTAGTCTAGTAGGGTTTTGCGCTACGCTGCGCTACGGACCTGGCGACCCGGGTTAGATTCCCACTCACGGCCAACACCGGTGTTAGCGATGATCTGAACCGGTCCTGGGCATCCCCTAGGTTGACTCAGCCTTAAATTAGTACCTGGTGTGGTGTGGGAAGGTTCCAGAAGGAAAGTAAACGACATTGGAATCTGCCGGAAGAATCTACCGGGGGAAAGTGCTGGAAGTTACCAGGGCGTGGCCGAGCGGGTGTATAAGGGGGAGCGAGGCCCTCGATCGGGGCGCTGGCTCGGGGACTGAAGGATGACTGCAGGTGGACGACATCGGCGCCGACTGTCTGAGATCTACATGGTGGAAACCACCAAGAGAGACTGTCTTGAGATCTACACGGTCTAAACCATCTAGAAAGACTGTCCGAGCTTTACAGGGTGGAAACCATTAAGAATGACTGTCTGGGATCTACATAGTGGAAACCATCAAGAAGGACTGTCTGAGATCTACATGGTGGAAACCATCAAGAAGGATCTACATGGTGGAAACCATCAAAAAAAACTGTCTGAGATCTACATGGTGGACACCATCAAGAAAGACTGTCTGAGATCTACATGGTGGAAACCATCAAGAAGGACTGTCTGAGATCTACATGGTGGAAACCATCAAGAAGGACTGTCTGAGATCTACATGGTGGAAACCATCAAGAAGGACTGTCCGAGCTTTACAGGGTGGAAACCATTAAGAATGACTGTCTGGGATCTACATAGTGGAAACCATCAAGAAGGACTGTCTGAGATCTACATGGTGGAAACCATCAAGAAGGATCTACATGGTGGAAACCATCAAAAAAACTGTCTGAGATCTACATGGTGGACACCATCAAGAAAGACTGTCTGAGATCTACATGGTGGAAACCATCAAGAAGGACTGTCTGAGATCTACATGGTGGAAACCATCAAGAAGGACTGTCTGAGATCTACATGGTGGAAACCATCAAGAAGGACTGTCCGAGCTTTACAGGGTGGAAACCATTAAGAATGACTGTCTGGGATCTACATAGTGGAAACCATCAAGAAGGACTGTTTGAGATCTACATGGTAGAAACCATCAAGAAGGATCTACATGGTGGAAACCATCAAGAAAAACTGTCTGAGATCTACATGGTGGACACCATCAAGAAAGACTGTCTGAGATCTACATGGTGGAAACCATCAAGAAGGACTGTCTGAAATCTACATGGTGGAAACCATCAAGAAGGACTGTCTGAGATCTACATGGTGGAAACCATCAAGAAGGACTGTCTGAGATCTACATGGTGGAAATTCTCAATAAGGACTGTCCAAGATCTACATGGTGGAAACCATCAAGAGAGACTTCTAAGATCTACATGGTAGAAACCATCAAGAAAGACTGTCCGAGATCTACATGTGGACACCATCAAGAAGGGCTGTTCAAGATTAATCTAGTTGAAATTACCAGGGTTGCAGATAGTCATAGCCTTGTGAAACTTATTAGTCGTACTCTCGCCTTGTAATGCGTTGGCGAGAAATAAATCATCTAGGAAATGGAACCTGTGTGTGTGGGTGTATGTTGTGTAGGTGGTGCATCCGCCAGTCATCTCAGTCAGGCGACCTGTGGCACCTGTTGGGTCTGCCCCGTGACCTGCCAGCTGGCGTTCGACACTTCACGTGGTGTCCTTAACGTGCACATAGCCTGGCACAAGCGCCGTGGTGATGTCACCGCCACTTAGTGGCAAATGGCGGTTTTTGGTGTTGGTGTGTACGCTCTTTATGTTTTTAATTTCACCCCAACTCTTCCCACATCGCGGCGCTCGTGCCCAGTGCTCAGCCCTGACACGGTCACTTGAACATTGATGATTCGCCATCGAGGCGTCTGCATCAATGCACATGCTCAACGGGTGGACGGTTAGATGCATGCGCCAATGTGTCTGCGCCTGAACTCAAGTGTTACGTTATCGTGCAAAAAAACTGTACGTGATAATTAAATCGTCTTCCGCAGTCGATTCCCTTCACACCTTCCAACGGATGCAGCCCCCTCACGGCACGACTCATTGACGCGAAGATTACAAGAATATTAGCAGCGTCGAATCACGTGTAGACGGAAAACATCACCTCCCCACGTGTAGCCGGACAGCAGACCTCACGAGGCACAACCGCGTACAGCCGAACGATGCGTTCGATAAAAGCCGCGTCGGGCAAAGTTTTTTTTCCGGTGCAGTGAAACGGCCCCTTTGTAAATGGGTGATAAACCACTCGTGATGTTCATCGTAGCGACGACGAGCGGCAGAGGTGTTATCGTGATGCTCTCGATGAGGCTGGGAGTAGACGATGTATGCATTGTTGACGGCCTACATTCGACCGTCATGGAAATCGGAGCGGAGACATTTGCCGCCGAAGGCGGAGCTGTGGTGCGATATGCCGTAAGCCCATGTTTCGTGGTTGTTACTGGTGTTGTTGAGTATGACCACCTTTGACGTCACAAGTTTAGTCAGGTGCCGAATGAGGGAATAGGCGACAGTACGTATGTTGAACTTCTTTTGCAACGTACGTAGCCAACCGTGCTAATCTGAGTGTGCGGGGGGAGGAAGACAACAAACACGAATCACAAGAAGCAATTCTACAGACGACAATGATAGAGGTGTTGACCGCGTGGTAAGTCACCTTGGCTGGGCCCTTCATGAACACAGAGCTGCGAGCCAGGGTCTCTCTTGAACCCCTCCTTGCACTGGCACACGGTGTCCTGGGCCAAGGAGCAGGCGTGAGCCACCTCCTCATCTGCAAATGGGAAGCGAGTCTTCATCGGTCTCACACACATGGACAACATGACCTGGTTTTGACAATGCCCGTGATTTGTTTTTGCTACGATAGCAATGTCACCTCTCAAAGCCTCACCCTCTTAACTACATCGGCCATTCCCTTCCTCGTCAGTCCCCTCGCCCCTCCACTCCTCCCCGTCCCTCCTCTATAGCCCCTCTTGTGACCCCTCTTATTTATTGAATTTTTCTCTCTTTTTTTCGCCTTTTGCAATATTTTTTTCTCCATTTTTTTCTTTCTTTTTGTCTCTTTTTCTATCTTTTTTTATTTCCCTTTTCTCTTTCTTTATATTTTCTCATAGTTTTTTCCTCTCTTTTCTTTCTTTCTTTTTATTCTCTCTTTTTCTCTTTCCTCGTTTTTTCTTTCCTTCTCTTTTTTGTTGCGTCGTGTTTCGTGCGTAGCGTAAGACGACGCCAAAATGTCACCGCATCCTCCATTGTGATTGCGACGGCGGTGCGAGTCGTTCCTGTTACCTGGTCCGCAAGCCCCGCACGGCATGCACGTCTTCTCCTGGTGCTCTCGGTTGCTGAAGGTGCCCTCAGGGCATAGCTCACACAAGGAGTCCATGCCATCGGCGATGCAGTCGACATTGTTGAATGTCCCTATGAAGAGAAACATGGCAGTGTGCTTTGTGAACTTTTCAACTTTTTAGATGGAAAAACTACGTAGCTCTTTGTCAATCTACTTCTGCATATATTTCCAGATGCCCAGTTTGTCATGGGGGTTAGTGAGGGAAAAACGTATTTGATCCCCTGCTGATTTTGTACGTTTGCCCACTGACAAAGAAATGATCAGTCTATAATTTTAATGGTAGGTTTATTTGAACAGTGAGAGACAGAATAACAACAACAAAATCCAGAAAAACGCATGTCAAAAATGTTATAAATTGATTTGCATTTTAATGAGGGAAATAAGTATTTGACCCCCTCTCAATCAGAAAGATTTCTGGCTCCCAGGTGTCTTTTATACAGGTAACGAGCTGAGATTAGGAGCACACTCTTAAAGGGAGTGCTCCTAATCTCAGCTTGTTACCTGTATAAAAGACACCTGTTCACAGAAGCAATCAATCAATCAGATTCCAAACTCTCCACCATGGCAAAGATCAAAGAGCTCTCCAAGGATGTCAAGGACAAGATTGTAGACCTACACAAGGCTGGAATGGGCTACAAGACCATCGCCAAGCAGCTTGGTGAGAAGGTGACAACAGTTGGTGCGATTATTCGCAAATGGAAGAAACACAAAAGAACTGTCAATCTCTCCCGGCCTGGGGCTCCATGCAAGATCTCACCTCGTGGAGTTGCAATGATCATGAGAACGGTGAGGAATCAGCCTAGAACTATACGGGAGGATCTTGTCAATGATCTCAAGGCAGCTAAGGACCATAGTCACCAAGAAAACAGTTGGTAACACACTACGCCGTGAAGGACTGAAATCCTGCAGCGCCCGCAAGGTCCCCCTGTTCAAAAAAGCACATATACATGTCCGTCTGAAGTTTGCCAATGAACATCTGAATGAATCAGAGGACAACTGGGAGAAAGTGTTGTGGTCAGATGAGATGAAAATGGAGCTCTTTGGCATCAACTCAACTCGCCGTGTTTGGAGGAGGAGGAATGCCGCCTATGACCCCAAGAACACCATCCCCACTGTCAAACATGGAGGTGGAAACATTATGTTTTGGGGGTGTTTTTCTGCTAAGGGGACTGGACAACTTCACCGCATCAAAGGGACGATGGACGGGGCCATGTACCGTCATATCTTGGGTGAGAACCTCCTTCCCTCAGCCAGGGCATTGAAAATGGGTCGTGGATGGGTATTCCAGCATGACAATGACCCAAAACACACGGCCAAGGCAACAAAGGAGTGGCTCAAGAAGAAGCACATTAAGGTCCTGGAGTTGCCTAGCCAGTTTCTAGACCTTAATCCCATAGAAAATCTGTGGAGGGAGCTGAAGGTTCGATTTGCCAAACGTCAGCCTCGACAACCTTAATGACTTGGAAAATATCTGCAAAGAGGAGTGGGACAAAATCCCTCCTGAGATGTGTGCAAACCTGGTGGCCAACTACAAGAAATGTCTGACCTCTGTGATTGCCAACAAGGGTTTTGCCACCAAGTACTAAGTCATGTTTTACAGAGGGGTCAAATACTTATTTCCCTCATTAAAATGCAAATCAATTTATAACATTTTTGACATGCGTTTTTCTGGATTTTGTTGTTATTCTATCTCTCACTGTTCAAATACACCTACCATTAAAATTATAGACTGATCATTTCTTTGTCAGTGGCCAAACGTACAAAATCAGCAGGGGATCAATTGCTTTTTTCCTCACCGTATGTCACCATACTGTGGTGAACGGTAGTGTAGCCGCGCTACGAACCCGGTGGCCCGAGTTCGATTCCCGCTCACGGTCGTCACCGACGACAATTATCTGAACTGGTCCTGGGCCTCCTCTAGATCGACTTAACCTCAAATCAGTACCTGGTGCGGTGTGTAGTAAACATCGCCACTGGGGAGACAAAGGTGATGTGGTGCTGGCCATTTACCCCCTCGTGTGCCGTGCCGGCCTTCATGGGTGCTCGCTAACAGCACTTGCCCCAACAGTCTGTTCAGGCTATAAGGGGGATCTTTGTCTTTGTAAACGTTCTTTACCAGTCTGCTCAGTGCGGGTTGGTGAATGGGTAGTGGGCCTTACTTGGTAAAATAAAAACATAGTTTAGTTTTAGTATGGGTGTCTATGAGTGGGTCTCTGTGGGTCTCCATGAGTGTGGGTCTCTATGAGTGTGGGTCTCTGAGTATGGGTCTCTGTGGGTATCTGTGGGTCTCTGTGGGTCTCTATGAGTGTGGGTCTCTGTGGGTCTCTATGAGTGTGGGTCTCTGTGGGTCTCTATGAGTGTGGGTCTCTGTGGGTATCTATGAGTGTGGGTCTCTTTGGGTCTCTGAGTGTGGGTCTCTATGAGTGTGGGTCTCTGGGTATCTTATGAGTTTGTAGAATCACGTGTTTATAGTATTTGGCTGTTATGAATGTTCACGCGATAGGCCACTTCGCCTCGCTTTCATTTGTGATGGCCACGTCGCTTCTGACAAAAGGGCCGCATAGCTCAGTGCGGGGCCTTTACTTGGTACAATGAACACAAATAGCTTCGTATTGGTTGTGTTTACTTACCTGGGCGGCAGAGTCTGCAGCAGACTCCGCGGTGTGTTTTGTAGAAGCCGCGATCGCATTCTTCGTCGGCCAGAATAGCAGCGGCAGAGATGATCTAAACAGAGAGGGTGTAGGGGACAAATCGGCGAATTTGGGTGTAAATTGAAACTCTGGTCATCATCTGCGCAGCGGCGGCGGCTTTGCCGTCGAACAAAGAAGGTGGTCACCGCATTCCGCGGTGCTTTTAGATGCACTTCTGCGGTCGTATGGAATGCTCTTTCCTTCCAATAATTAGGAAGGCACTGGGAGTTATGCAACTTTTATATCATCTAGATTGACGCAATCATTCCTTTAGAAGTGCTTTTTGTGTTCAGTTTGTTGTCCTTCCCCCACACCTCCGATTAACGTGGTTGGCTACGTACGGTGCCAAAGAAGTTCAACACACTACACTATACATGGCAATGCACGACACTATACACTACTACACAATACACTACAATACACTATATACGACAATATACACTACACTATACACTACAATGCACACTTACTTTACACAACACCACTAGAATGAAACCTCATTTATTTTGACCTGAGTTTAAATTTATTTAGAACTGAAACAATTAGAGTGCCAGAAAATTCCAAAAGGTGTGTTTTTTGGCATCCTCTGGTCTAACACCGTTTTGAGACTAGACTCATGTAGATCTCAAACAGTCTTTCTTGATGGTTTCCACCATGTAGATCTCAAACAGTCCTTGATTGTTTCCACCATGTAGATCTCAAACAGTCTTTTTTATGGTTTCCACCATGTAGATCTCAGACAGTTTTTCTTGATGGTTTCTACCATGTAGATCTCAGACAGTCCTTCTTGATTGTTTCCACCATGTAGATCTCAGACCGTCCTTCTTGATGGTTTTTATCATGTAGATCTCAGACAATCTTTCTTTTGGCATCCTCTGGTCTAACACCATTTGAGACGAGGCTCAAAAGAAAGCTATCTCTGGTGTGGACCACTCAGTTTCAAGGACAATGCATATATTATTAGTGTGTTTCTTGTTGGAATTCTGACCACAAGCATTGTGGTTAATGCAGACGTGATTCCTTGTAAAAGGTTTCAGTTTGGTGTTTTAACATCTCACTACGGGGAGAGAGAGAGAAGCAGACTCCAAATGTACAGCAACAGGCATCGTCAGGGTCGGGATGGAACCCACAATCTCCTGTACACCGGGTGAGGTAGTTAACATCTCTGCGTTTTATATTGTGTTGATCTTACTCTTGGTGCCAGTGAATAATACACAGTGTAGCAAATCATTAACCAGCGTGGCAGTTAAATGCAACCTTGATGACAATGAAGGAAAAGAAATGCAGCTCTATGCAATAATCACGCCTGTTTAAAAGGCTAACAATAAATACCATATCGTAGGCAGTATGTCTATACCACACTCTAGTACGTAACTTGGGCAAATGCATAATGTGCTACGGTTTTTTTATGTTTTCAATAATTTTCATGTGAAAAGGGACAACCTGCCTCGCCCGGTATGCAGGAGGACGTGGGTTCGATCTAGACCAGGGGTCGGCAACCAAAATAACAAGAAGAGCCATTTCTTTCCAATTCGGTACAAAATTCAGTATTTCAAGAGCCGCAATGCATCTGAGTACATACGTACATATCGTCAAGAAGCAGCCCGTAAAGAGCCGCATGCGGCTCCGGAGCCGTAGGTTGCCGACCCCTGATCTAGACCCTGACGATACTTGCTGCTTATTTGGAGTCTGCGTCTCTCTTTTTTTTACGATCAGAGGAAACAAGAAGATGCTCGGTGTAGTCGGCACTTTGCTTCGTTCATCATTTCGTTTTTTTGTGTTTTTAATGCTTTGCTTTATGTAACCCCCCCCCCCTTTTAAATGAAAGATTTCACAGAAGATGTCACGTTCTGCTCTCCTTACCTCTTCCCTCTCTCTCTACCACCTCTCTCTATCCCCCCTCTCTCACTGCCCCTCTCTCCCTACTCTATGTCTATGTTCCCCCTATGTTTTCTATGTAATATTTGTAAAAAAAAAATACGACAAGTGCTGCATCTGCACCCAGCCCTTCTCGCAGTCCTACGGCCTCCGACGGGTAGCTCACATCTGCATGCAGAACTCTCCGTCTTCTGCCACCGAGCCACACGGCCTCCTCCAGTGCCCACTGCTCCTTGAAGGCGTCTCTCTCTCTCCCCGTGAATGTTTCCGTCACGCATTTAAAGTATTTTGCTGCTACTATAAATGTCCACACAGTGATAATGATACTGGTAGGAACCACCTGGTTCCACCAGCCCACAGGGGATTATTGTGTCCGTCCGTCCGTCGTGCATCCAAAAATGGGAGGGGTGGGGCTGGGTGGAGAGGGGAGGGTGGGGAGGGGCTGGGTGGGGAGGGTGGGGAGGGGCTGGGTGGGGAGGGTGGTGAGTGGCTGGGTGGGACTGGGTGGGGGGTGGGGCTGGGTGGGGAGGGGATGGTCACCCCGTGGTGCCCTTATAAAACTCAACGTTTAACCTACTCACTCCGGCTTGTGCCCGCCCTCACAGTCGGGCATATTTGCGGAATACACCACGCCGCCGTTGACCCTGCAGGCCATTGACCGAGCAACCCAACGTTTCTACCAGCTCCCTCCGCAGCAGGAATGTGCTTAAAAGCCACTTGGTAGAGCTACTATCATTTGGTGATGTGCAGGATCGCTTCTGATTAAGAGCTACACAGCAGCTCTGTTGGGCCTTACATCTGGTATAATAAACACCGTTTAGTTATAGTGTGAGTCTCTGAGTGTGGGTCTCTGTGAGTCTCTGTGTGTGGGTCTCTGTGAGTGTGGGTCTCTGAGTACGGGTCTCTGTGGGTCTCTGTGAGTGTGGGTCTCTGTGGGTCTCTATGAGTATGGGTCTCTGTGGGTCTCTGTGAGTATGTGGGTCTCTGTGAGTGTGGGTCTCTGTGGGTTTCTGTGAGTATGGGTCTTTGTCGGTCTTTGTGAGTGTGGGTCTCTGGGTTTCTGTGAGTATGGGTCTCTGTGGGTTTCTGTGAGTATGGGTCTCTGTGGATCTCTGTGAGTATGGGCCTCTGTGGGTCTCTCTTTGTATGGGTCTCTGTGGGTCTTTGTGAGTATGTGGGTCTCTGTGAGTGTGGGTCTCTGTGGGTTTCTGCGAGTATGGGTCTCTGTGGGTCTCTGTGAGTATGGGTCTATTTGGGTCTCTGTGAGTATGGGTCTCCTTGGGTCTCTGTGAGTATGGGTCTCTGTGGGTTTCTGTGAGTATGGGTCTCTGTGGGTCTCTGTGAGTATGGGCCTCTGTGGGTCTCTCTTTGTATGGGTCTCTGTGGGTCTTTGTGAGTATGTGGGTCTCTGTGAGTGTGGGTCTCTGTGGGTTTCTGCGAGTATGGGTCTCTGTGGGTCTCTGTGAGTATGGGTCTATTTGGGTCTCTGTGAGTATGGGTCTCCTTGGGTCTCTGTGAGTATGGGTCTCTGTGGGTTTCTGTGAGTATGGGTCTCTGTGGGTCTCTGTGAGTATGGGTTTCTGTGGGTCTCTATGAGTATCGGTTTCTGTGAGTCTATGAGTATGGGTTTCTGTGAGTGTCTGAGTATGTGTCTCTGTGGCTCTCTGTGGGTCTATATGGGTATCTGTGGGTCTATATGGGTCTCTGCGGGGTCTGTATGGGTTTCAATAAGTATGGGTCTCTTTGGGACTGTATGGGTATCTGTGGGTCTCAATGAGTATGGGTCTGTATGAGTCTGCATCCATATGGGTCGCTGTGGGTCTCTGTGAGTATGGGTCTCTATGGGTCTATATGGGTCTCTTGGTCTCTATGAGTAACTCATCCAGCATAGAGGCTATCATGATGAAGTATCAACTGAGATGGGCAGGTCACCTTGTAAGGATAAATGACTCGAGGCTTCCTAAGCAAGTCCCCAGCTCAGCGATGGATCACGTTGCCCCCGGAGGCCGAAGGAAGCGTTTCCGTGACAACCTTGAAATGCACCTCAAGAGAAGTCACATAGATCCTAAAAAAAACTGGGAAATCTATGTTCTTGATAGAACATCATGGAGGACCGAAATGAACAATGGAACTCAGCATTTTGAGGCCGAGCGAAGAGAGTCGATAGACAGGAAAAGAGCGCACGTACAACAGAGACGGAGACAACAACGAGTGCGAGCTCCAGGATGGACCATCCGTGCCCCCACCACTGTGCCAAGACCTGCAGGTCACGGATTAGCCTACTCAGTCATCTCCGGACCCATGGCCAGCTAGGTCCACCTCGCAACATGGACAAGTGACACATGGAGGGAAGTCATACTCGACTACGAGGGATCCCAGAAGAAAGAAGAGTCTGTAGAAACATGCGTTTAGAGTTTGTGTACCGCAACACATTTCCACGTGATGATGATGAGAGTTACATAGCAACTCAGTGGGCCTTACCTGGTAAAGTTAAATCGTCTAATAGTATAGTTTTAAATACAGGTAGTCCTCTACAGGTAGTCCCCAACACTACCAGTGTCTCACTACCCAGTGTCTCACTACCCAGTGTCTCACTACCCAGTCTCTCACTACGCAGTGTCTCACTAGCAGTGTCTCATTACCAGTGTCTCACTACCCAGTGTCTCACTAGCAGTGTCTCATTACCAGTGTCTCACTACCCAGTGTCTCACTACCCAGTGTCTCACTACCCAAGGTCTCACCACCCAGTGTCTCACTATCAGTGTCTCACTACCCAGTATCTCACTACCCAGTGTCTCACCACCCAGTGTCTCACTACCCAGTGTCTCACTAGCAGCCTCACTAGCAGTGTCTCACTCGCAGTGTCTCACTACCCAGTGTCTCACTACCCAGTGTCTCACTACCCAGTGTCTCACTATCAGTGTCTCACTACCCAGTGTCTCACTATCCAGTGTCTCACTACCCAGTGTCTCACCACCCAGTGTCTCACTACCCAGTGTCTCACTACCCAGTGTCTCACTAGCAGCCTCACTAGCAGTGTCTCACTAGCAGTGTCTCACTACCCAGTGTCTCACTACCCAGTGTCTCATTACCCAGTGTCTCACTAGCAGTGTCTCACTACCCAGTGTCTCACCACCCTGTGTCTCACTACCCAGTGTCTCACTACCCAGTGTCTCACCACCCAGTGTCTCACCACCCAGTGTCTCACTACCCAGTGTCTCACCACCCAGTGTCTCACTAGCCAGTGTCTCACTACCCAGTGTCTCACCACCCAGTGTCTCACTACCCAGTGTCTCACCACCCAGTGTCTCACCACCCAGTGTCTCATCACCCAGTGTCTCACTGCCCAGTGTCTCACTACCCAGTGTCTCACTACCCAGTGTCTCACTACCCAGTGTCTCACTAGCAGCCTCACTAGCAGTGTCTCACTAGCAGTGTCTCACTACCCAGTGTCTCATTACCCAGTGTCTCATTACCCAGTGTCTCACTACCCAGTGTCTAACTACCCAGTCTCATTACCAGTGTCTCACTACCCAGTGTTTCACTACCCAGTGTCTCACTACCCAGTGTCAGACAGTGGTATAAACACATAATAGGTGAGTGTCACTGGTTACAATGAACAGGTGAGTGTCATTGGTTACAATGAACAGGTGAGTGTCACTGGTTACAATGAACAGGTGAGTGAGTGTGAGTTGTCCTCACCACGAGAAGAGGATTCCCCTCCACTCAACTGGTCTCTTCCACAGAATCATGTCGTGATCCTCTCGTCCTCCTGTGTCAGCAGCTCAGGTTCATCACCGATGCTTCTTCATTCGCTCACAAAGTCTCCCCCGTGTCTCTCCAATGGGATCTCCGCGATTAGCACAGGTTGCCGATGTACGGCGCGATAGAAATTGGACATACGTACACCACACTATGCACTACTATACACTACACTATACACTACACTATACACTACTATACACTACACTATACACTACTATACACTACACCACTATACACGACACTATATACTACTATACACTACACCACTATACACTACACTATACACTACTATACACTACACCACTATACTCGATTGAGAACTAATGTTTGTAGAACCGCTCTTCGTTGCTGTGTTCAGTTTGTAATCCTTCAATGGCACCTACGATTAGCCACGGCTGGCTACGTACGGCGCCAAAGAAGTTCTACACACGCACACACATACGTAGCGTAGCTTTGTCAAGGTTAAACGCACGGTCTATAGTTTGATCGCCTCTCAAAAAAAAAGCGAGAGAAAGAGAGGGAGGAGACTGCCAACTACGACTCTGTTGTTTCGACATGTACAAAAATGCACCTGAGCTGACTTCCTTGAGTAGTTGTGGGTCAAGGTGCGTGTGGGAGAGAGAGAGAGGGGGGTTGTTTAAAGTGCCACTGCAAAATGTATTGTCTCGAGACAAAAAGATAACACACGAAATGGTGCAAAGCGCCACGTTGGCTAGGGAGATGTTGACTACCTCGCAATGGTGTACAGGAGGTCGTGGGTTCTGTGAGATGTTGACTACCTCGCCTGGTATACAGGAGGTCGTGGGTCCTGCCTGTGAGATGTTGACTACCTCGCCATGGTATACAGTAGATCGTGGTTTCTGTGAGATGTTGAATACCTTGCCTGGTCTACAGGAGGTCCTGGGTTCTGTGAGATGTTGACTACCTCGCCTGGTAATCAGGAGGTCGTGGGTTCTGTGAGATGTTGACTACCTCGGTTGGTCTACAGGAGGTCGTGGGTTCTGTGAGATGTTGACTACCTCGACTGCTCTACAGGAGGTCGTGGGTTCTGTGAGATGTTGACTATATCGCCTGGTATACAGGAGGTCGTGAGTCCTGTGAGATGTTGACTACCTCGCCTGGTCTACAGGAGGTCCTGTATATTTGGAGTCTGCGTCTCTCTCCGTGATGAGATGTTGACTACCTCGCCTGGTATACAGGAGGTCGTGGGTTCTGTGAGATGTTGACTACCTCGCCTGGTCTACAGGAGGTGGTGGGTCCTGCTGTATATTTGGAGTCTGTGTGTCTCTATCTCCCAGTAGTCAGATGTTAACTACCTCGCCTGGTCTACAGGAGGTCGTAGATCCTGCTGTATATTTGGAGTCTGCGTCTCTCTCCCCGTGATGAGATGTTGACTACCTCGCCTGGTCTACAGGAGGTCGTGGGTTCTGTGAGATTTTGACTATCTCGCCTGGTATACAGGAGGTCGTGGGTCCTGCTGTATATTTGGAGTCTTCGTCTCTCTCCCCGTGGTGGTCACTGCGTGGATTAATGTTCTTGCTGTGGTTTTCACACCTGATGATGACTGTGGTTTTCTCACCTGATGATGATTGCTTGTGTTGCAATCGAAACGTCGTGAGAATTTTATTGTTTTATATTTATTATTTTATTATTTCCCTTCTACGTGACTTTACCGAAAGAACCTAGAATATGAATCCCTGCAGTCACGAAAGCTTTAAATCGAAAAAAAAATGGTCACCAGGTTCACCGACCCGTCAAGCAGTACAGGCTTTGTAAAGCAAGGAAACAGAAAGAAACCACTCGGACACTCAGTGCAATACAAATCTTGAGTATTTAATAGATCACAGCATCAACTAGTGTCACAATCACGTCAACTCTGCATCTGTTATTCTTCTACAGTACTAGTTGGCTGTGTCGGGTGGTGGCGGGTTTTAACGACACAATATTATAAATTTACGCGATCTAACCCAAAAAAACCTCGATTATGGTTGGTATGCCTTGTTTCAGACTCACAAACCAAAGACTAATATTTTATGCATTTATGCAATACGTAACAATATGTGCCCACGTATGTGTGTTGCACGCCTTAACAAATGTATCAAAACCAACCCACATTAGCGACTACAGGCAAAAATGCAAATGCTGATATTTCCGTAGCCTTAACAAAATATGGGAAAGCACTGGCATTAGAACGTAAACGTTAAACTCTCTAAGAACGTAACAGTATTCAGAAAATATTGGCAAAACCAGACGGTCCTCTACCAGTCTGGAAAAAAACAAAGTGTGCACCTCGCAGCAGACCAACCAATATATCAAGAAACAATCATTCTACCAGTAATACATCAAAACAATTACCAGTGGGTCCTCTTTGTGAGGTAACCCCTGGGAGCCCTGACTTTCACATAGACTGAGTTCAATATTAAATGGAAATTTATATACTTGAAATCAAGCCCCACCTCATACATATAAATTACCGTTAATGCAGCCATACCATGGGACGATGTAGAACCTAAGTCTTTAGACTGGGTGGCCGGATGTTATTTCCATGTATGGTTTTGGCTACTTTTTGCAAGGATCAACATTTTAACGAGCTTATCTTGGACAAAGGGCCTATGTCCCTACTCTTTGGTTCTTTCGTTAAAGTCACGTAGGTGACTTTACCGAAAGAACCAAAGAGTATGGATTCCTGTAGTCACGAAAGCTTCAAATCAAGGCCTATGTCCCGTGAAGTTCTCAGGTGCGGCATCACTTACTTATATATTTCTGGGCATGAGAATTAAAGCCTCCCTTCCTAGACCATAACTCTGCTGATAGGAATGAAGGCTCAACATATGCGTAGTGTATAAGAGAGCAATGTGAATGTACGTGCGATGAACAATTATAAGTCTAATATTCATGAAGTATTAATGATCAAAAAGGGGTACACATCTAACATTTGTCTATTCAGTTAAACTGAGTTTTATCCTTTATTATTTTTACTCATTATGACAGGATTTTTCAATAACGCCGTTGTCTTCAGAAACTCAACTACTGCCTTAGAGGAGAACAGACTGTATAATAGGCGACGTTTCGGTCAATGGGCCTTCTTCATAGCATGTCTATGTGCTGTGATGAAGCCCATCGTCGGTAACGTCGCTTGTGAAAAAAATCCTTGAAAGATAATTTATTATTTGTGCTTATAGTGAAATAAAGGGTGCCAAGTTGCTATCCATTCATTGCTTGTTACACTTTTTCCCTTCATGAATCAATAAACGCGCGAATTTATAGGGATTGAAGTAGTGATAGGGGTTAGGGGTAGTGATGGGGGTTAGGGGTAGTGATAGGGGTAGGGGTGGTGACAGGGGTTAAGGTAGTGATAGGGGTTAGGGTGGTAGTGTTAGGGTGGTAGTGTTAGGGGTAGTGATAAGGGTTAGGGTGGTAGTGATAGGGGTTAGGGTGTTGATAGGGGGTTGAGGTAGTGATAGGGGTTAGGGGTAGTGATAGGGGTTGTAATAGGGGTTAGGGGTATTGATAGGGGTTAGGGTGGTAGTGATAGGGGTTAGGGGTAGTGATAGGGGTTAGGGTGTTGATAGGGGGTTAGGGTAGTGATAGGGGTTGGGGGTAGTGATAGGGCTAGTGATAGGGGTTGGGGGTAGTGATAGGGCTAGTGATAGGGGTTGGGGGTAGTGATAGGGCTAGTGATAGGGGTTGGAGTAGTGATAGGGGCTGGAGTAGTGGTAGAGGTTGGAGTACTGATAGGGTTAGTGACAGAGTTAGCCTAAGAGTTTGGGGCTGTCTTTGAAGATATATATTAATTTTATTTAAGTAATCACATTTGGCCTTTTGTATTTCTCGTGGTCCTTCGGTTTTCCCGTCCACATTTAGAAACACGCATTGAGATTATTTCGCGGCTAGAAATGTCCAAATGATGGGGCTACTTTGTTGAGCTATCATTTGTGATAGCCAGGACGCTTCTGAAAAATAAGTTAATACCTCAGTGGGCTTTGCTTGGTAGGATGGGGATGCTTTAGTCTTAGTTATTTGTACGTGTTTCAGTGATTTGTTGAACCTTTCTCGTACTTTGCACTACGATAATGTTTTTGTACTGTTTGTTGTTGTAACGTTCTTATCCCGTGTCCCTACTGGACATCTGTGGTAAAGAGCTTGATGGCTCATGGGGTTCCTCCTCCAGTATGAATAAATATTCTGAAATTGATTACAAAGGATTCTGAAATTGAGGGTCACTTAAGCAGAGAAGAGCTGGGAGGAGTTCTTAATGCAGGCGATGTCTTTAAAAAAATGAAGCCTAAATTGTTAAATGACGTGGCCAAGCAAGGGGCGAGAGGAGCGGGCAGGGGTGGGAAGGGACAGAGGAGGGAATTGACGATGTGGGACTCTCATTTGCACTTCCTGGATGCGTCTTAGCATGTGTGCTAAAGGGCCATCTTAACGCGTATATGCTAAAGGAAATCACTTAACAAGTGGCAAAAGGTAAAACAAAATTAGATTTTTAAAAAGAGTGAATTTGGCTTAATAAAGCTCACATGTTACGAAAGATGGAGTTAAACTTTGGGTGTTGATCTCGAAGTCCCCAAAGGACCTCTAAGAATTGCCTGGGATTCGCCCGGCTCTTTCCCAACGTGAGCTCTATCACGTGCCTTGCCGCCACGTCCCGTCCGTGTTTGTTCTCCATTTCTCTCAGGTCCTGCAAAGCATAACGTCGTCGCTGCATTAGTGTACAAACATAAACATCCTTCTAAAGCCTCCGCTGTGAAAACCAAAGCCAACAACAATACCTGTGCGATGGTTGTGCTGAAGTAGTTTATTTTTTCCAGGCAGGTGAGCAGGGGTTCCAGGTCATCCTTTATAGCTTTGGATATGTGTTCCTTGTTGAAGCGAATATGTCTGTATAACCCTTTGTCCTTGTACTGATCCAAAAACAAAGGGGCCTTGGTCAAGAGCTTCTTGAGGAACCCTGAAAGACAGTGAGTAGTGGCGATTGAGGATTATTGAGAAGAAACGAAAAGTACGATTGATGCACGTGGTGGCTGTTGTGTATGTACCCCCTTTTTATTTTTTTTAATATTAATTTTTTTTTTAAGAATTATTCTGCCAACATAGATAATATCGTTTTTTTTTAATAGACGCGGCCACGTGGGAACGAACACGCCCCCACACTTCCACAGAGGCCCCCACACTTCCACAGATGCGCGCATACCTCATTTCAAAGGAAAGAGGACATGAAAGGGGGGGGCAATAAGGTAATAAACTCCCCTAAATTCACACAAGAGGAACAAGGGAGGGGGGAATTGCAGGCGGGGGGTTGCAGAACCAGGAGACACGGAGGAAGAGATAATTATATTCTTAACAAAGAAACAGCATCGACGACAAAAAGCACAGATGGGTCTTTGAACCATGTTAAATACACAAGTTACCAACTTAACCATAAAGATTAAGCAAACAGTATCCATCCTCACTCCAATTGAAAACCAGACGACAATCTGAACCAGAATCGCGACCCATCATTGTTAATAAATACTGACATTATTTACCTTTAAAGAATATCTACACGGCCGGGCCGAAGCATCAAAGAATAATTATGGCATCGATTTCGCTCCAAAACAAAATTCCTAGCCGGGATATCAGATCAAATAATCACAAGAAGTCAAATAATAAGTACGGAATTAAAGTAGAAGAGAAATCAAGGGCGGAGAAGGCTCTCAAAATTAACCAAACACAACACCCATGGGAAGCGAGCAACACGGCCGCCTTTGTCTTTCCGAGAGGATCACGACACACAGGCACCAAGCCAGGAAATGACACCCATAAAGTTGGGGCAAGGGCTCAAAGGAAATTAACACACGCCTTCGAATAAATAAGCATGCGCCGGATGCTCCCACCGTGGAAACAACCGCCTTTGTCTCCCCACAACACGGACAGCAAAAATTGCACACGCATGGAAATAACATTGCCATGAGAGATCGGGTCACGATGAAACATCGTGAACACTGTTTCGGCATAACCAAGCAGCAAATAAGTCGCATTTCAACTTCCAAACCAAACCAACTTAAGCTGTGTGAGACAAAGGATGTGATCCCAGAGCAAGGGAGTGAATAGTTAAGCTTGCTTAACGCGTAGGTTTTCGCGACAAATATTATTCAGTAACACAACATGGATTCAAATGTTTTTTTTTAACTCAACGCGAATCATCGGTCTGGCTAATGGATAACTTCTGAAGCAGCCGACACGAGGCCCCCACCCCTTTTTTCCAGAACGACACACACAGCTGTGTCTTCAAAGCTAATAAACACACGGACAAACACGCACGCGAAACACACGGACAAACACGCACGCGAAACACACGGACGGACACACACACGGACGCAGATGGTCCACCCCCACAGGAAGGTTTTATGACACAGCTTTTGAACTCGGGAAGCCGAGTGGAATTTTCCGATATAAACCGAAGGAAAATCCATACAACTCAGATCGACAGGGGCTCTGGCCCCCATCACATATCGTCCGGGCTTCGGCTCCAACACAAGATATCATCCGGGCTACGAGCCCATCTTCGGCTCCACCACAGATCTTCACGAGCTCCGGCCTACATCTCATCTCGTCTCCGGGCTAAGGCCCCACCAGAGTTCTCCAGGGCGACAACCATCTCTCCTCGTCGCCGCCAACGAAGAAGCTTTTCGTCATCCAGAAGGACGAGGATCGCGCGGTGCCGAGGCATCGCCTGCCGCACACGAGTGTACGAGCCAGGCTCCCTTGCCGTGTCACCACGCCGAGGTGCATCGCCTGCCGCACACGAGTGTACGAGCCCAGCTCCCTTGCCGTGTCGCCACGCCGAGGTGCATCGCCTGCCGCACACGTGTACGAGCCCAGCTCCCCTGCCGTGTCGCCACGCCGAGGTGCATCGCCTGACCACGCAAACGAGCGTGGCCGCGCGTCAGTCATCGTACGGGGTCAGCCAAGGAAGGAGTCGGAAAGCGAGCCGCTCACCCTCTCACCGCAGCTGCGCAAGCCAGAGGGTCCTTCTCCGAAAGTCGTTCGTACCCACAACTCCCCCCACCAATAGACCCACACACGCACGCATTGACGCCCCACTCACCTGTGAGACTATCCCATCTAGTTCACCCTTACCATCGTATCAACCCTAGTCAATTATCAGAAGACTGATTATCAACTACATGAACCATCAGCTGGCCATGCGGAATCGCGGCCCATCGAGTGATTAAGAGTCCGTCGGTTATAAGAGTGAGGTTGTTACCGTGTCTTTCCCTTGTCCCGCTCATCACATAGGCGATCAATAGACTCGTCGAGGCAAACTCAAACTCTCGGAATCCTCATTACGAATCGACCGAACACAGAGAGAGAATATCTTGTCAAACCAGTTTCCTTTGTCCCAGAGTCTCGCCGAAGAATTAATTACAACAGAGCCAGATTCGCTCTCGCGCCCACACGCCCTCACCCACCATTGTATCAAACATTCCGTTAAAAAGGATTTTAGACTTGCCGATGAATCTATTGACATATACTTTCGCCTCTGGGATACAATAAGTGCTTCTTATTACCGCCATATGAAGTGTGTCATGCTTGTTTTCAAACTCGACCAGTCGCCGATTGTGATCAATACATGGGCGAACTAATGATGCCTGGTAGGAAAAGTAGAGGTTACAATTGATAGAAGTGTTTTTAGTCATTCAGTTCGTTAAATGCATAAGTGTTTATTCATTCATTTTAGTCAAATGCATAATCTCGTAATTGCATAAGAGTTTTGGTTATTCATATTAGTTAATGCATAATATCGCAAATGCATAAGAATTTTTAGTCATTCAGTTCGTTAAATGCATAAGTGTTTATTCATTCATTTTAGTCAAATGCATAATCTCGTAATTGCATAAGAGTTTTGGTTATTCATATTAGTTAATGCATAATATCGCAAATGCATAAGAATTTTTAGTTATTCAATTTAGCTAAATGCATAAGTGTTTATTCATTCATTTTAGTCAAATGCATAAGAGTTTTCGTTATTCATATTGCATAATTGCATAATGTCACAACTGCATACGTTTTTGTCGTTCATATTAGTTAATTGCATAATCTTGCCCATGAATTATTGACGCATGTTTGACCTGCATGATAGAATGTCACGTGCTTGTTAGAATAAAATTGTAATCCAGAAGCATATCGAGTGTTCCTTCCAAGTCCATGCAAAACTGTCTTATTCTTGACAACTGTATCCTGTGATGAGATATGAAAATGGAGACCTAAAATATTATAACACACACTAGGATAATCGGTAAATGAATCTATGATAATCGTGTTATCCTGATTGATAACCCTGGATAAACGAAACTAAGCAAATTATCATAACTGCACACATTAACATAATCGCAAGCCTCAGCATAAATTACTACGATTATCTCCGTGATTATCATAATTTATGCATATAATTACACGCATTATCATAATTTATGCGTATTAATACACACACTATCATAATTAATGCGATTTGCGCATTTTTCGGAAAATTATTAATTTTTATTATTTTCATCAAAATTTCATAATACCAACACATACAACATGGCGCACACCTCTAGTCCAGCACTTGTGAGTGGACCGATCTCCATCTCTTTCATCTGTATGGGATAGAGCGTTGCCCCATCTCGCACACAAGTGGTATTTTTTGCTCCGGGTGCTGGAAACTATTCTTTGTTTCATTTTGCTGGGAGGTATTTGTTTTGCACCTAGCGGTAAAACTACGAACTATGTACAGGATATGGGACCTTTTTACCAGTATCAAACTGAGAAAAATATATTAGGTGTTTGAACATCTTAACACTTGTTTTATTTCCACAAAGGGAAATACCTATTCTTATTTTATCATTTACGGAATATGTTGCCGACATTTCAGTTGCTTTGTCCAATCGCTTGCATGATTGCGTAATAATAATGGATGATACATCGACGGACAATCCTGTAGATGCTTCCACTCGTGGTATAGGCAAATTGTGTACGAAGGATGAGTTGAATGAAACAACAGAATAGTTTAAAGTGAAAAGGGGTGGTCATACTTTTACGTCACACAAAGTAGAACAAATTTCATGCGGAAGTCAACTGGGAGGGAGTCATAACGTGGATACCTGTGAGAAGTTTGAAGGTGTTCAACGACGTTTAAACTCACCGAGGGAGCTCAGCCACTTCTTGACGTCGGGGTACTTGTTCTTCACGATGTGCAATGCAAACAGCAGCTTATCGCAGTCGTCGTTGCCGCGTTTGATGAAGAAGTCGAGCAAGATCTCGGCACAGTCCTCGTCGCTGTTTGCCGATTTTGCTTTGGTTATGATGTCGCCTGGAATCAGAGACTGGTTGATGAGCTGCAGCAGAAGGTGTCGTGGGTTCACGCCGATCCAAGCCTTCAGCTGTGGCTTGGCTTTTGTAACAGCCAACACTGCTTCCCCTGTGACAACGGAAAATGCAGTGCACATTCAGTTCTCGACTTACGAACGCCCGTATTTACAAACACCACCCTCACTGACGAACACCACCCACACTTACAAACTAGCTTCCAGGGAATGACTTTTTTAAAAAGTGACTCGAGCAGAGAGTGTGTGTGTGTGAAACTGAGTGTGTGGGGAGCGCTAGTGTAGCGGGTAGCGCACTGCGCTACGAACCTGGCGACCCAAGTTTGATTCTCGCTCACGGCCAACACCAGTTGCGATTATCTGAACTGTTTCTGGGCCTTCCCTCGGTCGATTCAGCCTCAAATTAGTAGCTAGTGCGGTGTGTAAACATCGCTACTCGGGAGACGAAGGCTGCTGGGCGTGGTGTGCGCCACACACTTTCTCGTGCGCCATGCTGGCCTTCATAAGTGCTTGCTAACAGCACTTGCTCCAACAATCTGTTAAGGCTATATGGGGATCTATCTTTGTGTCTATGTGTGCAAACGTGTGCAAATGTGTGTGTGTACACATGTGTGTGTGTTAGTCCAGCGAAAACAATCCCCTACCTCTTGACTGGTGCTGAACGGCAACGCTGTGGTGGATGTGAGCAATGCCATGGAGGGAAGGTCAATTTCAAAATCGGCTATACCCCTTCACGGCGATTGTAGCCGCAACAGCGTCCAAACAAGGGCTCTGAATGGGTGCAAAGGGCTGGTAACCCCTCCACCTTCAATTATTTACCACTAAACCACGTGGAACTTTTAGAACAAAGCTTGTGCCGGAGGCCCTGGGGATAGGTGTCTATGACGTCTCCTGGCCAAACTACATTTGGCGGAGCCAGAAGACTGAATCTTCACCCTCGGGGTTCCTCCAGAAACAGCAAAAAGACACTGCGGGTGGCCACGTGGAATGTTCGAACGCTCACTGCAGAGAAGAGGCTGCCACTCCTCTGTCTGCCACAGCAGAGGTGTAGGGAATTCCAAGAAGACCTACATCTTTGCTTTATTGACCTGGTCAAGGCCTATAATAGCATCAGTAGGCCTGGGCTCTGGGTTGTTCTCTGAGTTATTTTTTGTGCCTTCGGAGTCCCGACTCTCTGCTCACAATCATTAAGGACCTTCGTGATGGTGGGCAGGCACGGGTAAAACTACTTGGCTGGGAGTAGGAACCATTCCCTGTTCACTTTGGGGTGCAAAAAGGATGTCTTCTTTCTCCCACATTATTTAACATCTATATCGATCACGTAGTTCGTGAAGCCTTCGATGGCTGTACCGGAGGATTTTATATCTGGAACAGATACAATGAGAGGCTGATCGATGCCTGGGTGCGGTCAAGGGATGGCTCCCTATTGGTCAACCATGTTATGTATGCTTATGATCTGGTGATTGCTGCTCACTCAGAGGAGGAGTTGGAGGCACTGCTACTGATCATTCCACTAATAGGTAGGGCCTTACCATCAGCCCCACCAAAACTAAGCACCTGCCTGGGTATTTTGTGCCATCAGACACTCCACCCCACAACTCCCAATTGGTGATGGGGCAGTTGTGGAGGGGAGAGAGTTTTCCATACCTGGGCAGTGTGCTCATGACCGGCTATGGTTTGATAGCAGAGATCTCACTCCGAATCAGTCGAGTGGAATTATCTTTTGATTGGCTGCGCGACAATGTGTGGAAGCTACCTGGTCTGTCGCTCCACTCGAAGCTTGAGATCTTCTTGGCCACGGTCATGCCCTCCCTTCTCTATGCTTGCGAAACGTGGACCCCCCTAATGGAACATCTTCCCTGGTTAGAAACATTTAGACTGGCCTACAATCCATCCTGGGTTTAACCAGGCTGGATTACGTGAGGAGCTCACAAATCCTTGAAAGATGTGGACAAAGTCCCATCAGTGAGCTCCTCTGGCAGGCAAGGCTGCGTTGGCTGGGTCATGTATCCCTCATGCCCAGAAACCGCATCCCTAAACAGCTTTTGTTCGGCTGGATAGAGGGGGCTAATCGGGTGCAGCACTGGCTAGAGAAGAGATGGAGTGATATGGTACAAGAGGATGTGGAGCTGAGTGGACTTGCCAATGACTGGTACCAGCGGTGTCAAGATCAGCCTCTGTGGAGGAGGCTCGTGAAGGACGCTACTGGGCAGATGGAGGCAGTCGCCCTCCAGCAACAACGGAGGGCAGAGGAGTGACGCTCACAACAATGAGCGGAGCGCCGGGCGGCTAAAACACAGCAAGTTGGAACAGTAGGGGGCACAGGTGGTGCATCGGCCAATCGTCTCAGTCAGTCGACCCATGGCACCTGCTGGGTCTGTCCCGTGACCTCCTGCTAGCGGGCGTTCAACACTTCACGTGGCCTTAACATGCACCTAGCCTGGCAGATCATGTTCGTAATTCAGAGGACTGCCTGTAATTATACTTTTAAAAAAATGTAAATAAACATTCAATTATTGAATTTGAGCACCGTGTATTTTAATTGACGATTCGAAGCAACTTGACGTGATGTTTATCATAGTGAAGAGTTAAAGGACCACGCATACCCTTTTCCTTGAACATCTTCCACAGCTGCAGGTAGTTTCTTCTAACGGCGTAGAGAGCGTTCCAGAGCCTGAAGTACTCTTTCCCTCCCCGGTTGAGGAAGTGGTGAAGTAGAAACTCCACGCAGTCCTGTCCACCCTTGCTTTTGGCCGTGCTGTAAACTTCCCATGTGATTGTGCGGTTGTTGATCAGATACTCCAGGAGAGGGGTCGGGTTCTCACCGACCCACTTCTTTAGGTCCTCTGAGTATTCATGCATTACCTGCTTTACCATGTTATCAGCAATTTCACCGTCCGCCTGTGGATGACGAACATAGAAGTCTCATGGAAACGTCTCCAGCAGTTCTAAAATCTGAGATTGCCTACTCGAGGTGGCTGAATAAATGTATGTTTAACACGTAGGCTTTCGCCACCAATATCCATAATACAGTAAAACCTTGGATTGCGAGCATAATTCGTTCCGGAAACGTGCTTGTAATCCGAAGCACTCGTATATCAAAGCACTCGTAAATCAGTTGTGATCACGTGACGCTCGGCAGACAAAGCGTATATGTACCACTCGTATTGCAAGACCTCGCTCGTTTATCAAATAAAAAATTTACGAAAATGTTTTGCTCGTCTTGCAAAACACCCGCAGACCAAGTTACTCGCAATCCAAGGTTTTACTTTACAGATTTTTGGGTTAGATCGCGCAAATATATAAATGTGTCGTTAAACCCGCCCCCACCCCACCGCAAGTTTCTAAATGTGGAGGGAAAAACTGGAGGACCCGGAAAAAAGTCCACGCAACCACGGGGTGAGAGATACGCAAACTCCAAATATACAACAGGCATCAGGATCAAATATACGAGCTCCTGTATTCCAGGCGAGGTAGTTAACATACAGCAGTAGGCATCGTCAGGGTCAAGATCGAACCAATCACCTTCTGTATACCAGGCGAGGTAGTAAACATCTTGCCACGTGGAGTGAGAGAGAGAGATGCAGTCATCGTCAGGGTCAGGATCGAACCCACGCCTCTCCCTATGACCATTATGTTACACTAAATCGCAATTATTTATGCATACAATTGTGTTTTCCCACAGTGATGTGCCGATACACCGCCGAGGGTTGGAGAAACAAGAGAACGTGGATGCAAGTCTGAAGACACGCGTGTGATTGGCAAGCGTACGCATTGTATCACTTATTGTAAGCTCGCTGGAGCCACCATGCACGCCACTGGAGCGCTCCGAACCGATGTCAACGTCGCTCGCCATTACCTGGGTCCCGTTCTTTACGACTACGAGGAGCGGTGCCGCCTCTTGTACCCGGCGCCTGTGAACGCATCGCAGGGAGCATTACAGAGATACAATGGCAATGACAAGAAGTCCGCTTTTGCTGTCGCGCGGCGTTTTCAGATGCGCTGCGTCTGCGGCCGTCTGGACCGCCTCTTCCTTCCGATATTAGGAAGCCACTGGTAGCGATGCACTTTAAATAATCGTCTGGATTGACAAAACTCATTTCTTTAAAACTGCTTTTTGTGTTTAGTTTGTTGTCCTTCCCCTCGCACCTCTGATTAGCCACAGTATGGTGCAAAAAGAAGTCCTACACACATACATTTGAAGCTTTAAGAGATAATATGTATGACTATCATATAAAAACAATCAATTGTAATCATTGTCAAACCAGTAAAATCACTGTGCGTATGTCTGTTGAGCTTCTTCTGTCCCACTGTACATAGCGCACCGTAGCTAATCGGAGGTTTGAATAGAAAAAGACATGTTTTTTTTACCGCGCACTGGTATACTGCTGATCTGCTCAATCAGACTTACGAGAGAGCTTCTGTCTCTGTCTTAAAACGATGAGGATGGTAGTTATAGCGATCAGCGAGAGTGCAGCGATGCATCCCAAAACGATGGTTGCTGTTACTGAAAAATAGAAAACAGAAGGGAAAAACAAAACATAAAATCAGTTCCGCCGATCTATGGATAAAAAAAAGCCTGCTGAAGACAGTCAATGCGAGCATTCGAAAACGGCCCGTGACGTGCAGGGCAGACCTCGACGGATGCAGTTGTTACGTTCCTGAGAAAATTCCTCCCAAAAAAGCGAATGTTTTCATGGAGAAATTTGAAACAGATGCCATCCAGATATCCACCCTACGTCCTTCCTTGTGGAAGAGATATATGGATGACACTTTCGTAATTTGGCCACATAACCTACCAACACTGAACCTATTCCACAATCACATCAATTCCATACACCAATCCATCAAATTCACCATGGAAGTGGAGAAGGATGATAAGCTACTATTCCTGGATGTTTTGAGAAGAAACCTGATGGCTCTTTGGGACACTCTGTCTACAGGAAAGCTACCCACACAGATTCCTATCTGAAACCTGAATCCCACCACCATCCAGCACAGAAGAATTCCCTCATCAAAACACTACACCATAGGGCCCACTTCATTTCTGACCAACATCACCTAGCCAGTGAACTGGAACACGTACACCAGGTCCTTAAGATGAATGGATACTCTGACGGCATTATCCGCAAAGCGGTTTTTCCAACCATGATGGAGAAACAACCCCCTGAGACGCCGATCAAAACCATCACGTTACCATACATAGCAGGCGTTACCAAAAAGATTGCGAAAATCCTAAACAAACACAAGATCCAGGTCCGATTCAGTACAGTACATAATATCCGTGATCTAATCCCATCTGTGAAGGATGTCATTCCTGATTTGCAATACCCTGGAGTCTACAACCTAAGTTGCATCTGTGGTGATTGTTACATTGGGGAAACGAAACAGTCATATCTCTGACCGTATCCGCGAGTCACAAGTCAGATCTGAAACACGGCAGAACTAATTCTTCCGCCGTTGCTGATCATTGTTATAACGCTGTGGGCTCTCATGATATTGTTTTTTCCGAGACCAAGGTGCTCTTGCAAACCGTCTGGCTACTCTCAAAGGTTTGTTCATGAAGCTATCCAGATATACAAGCACAGACATAACTTCCACCGTGAAGATGGATACAAATTGAGCAATCATTGGAAAGATGTTATTAACCAAGTAAAAATGATGTAACTGCGCATAGATTGTCCCATCTTATTAGCGGCTACTAGTCTATTTTACCGAGTCAGTTGCATCCCCAGCGTTTAACAGTGCTGCTATTTTGCTTTGGGCGCCAACATCGGCTGTAACTGCAGTAGTCGCTGCTTCGCTCTCTTCCACCCCCCCCCGCATCTTCCAGCTCCCTCAACCTCTCGCTTCTAGCCCCGCCCACTCCCCCCGACCCCCCCCCGCACAGTCTCATGTCCCAGTCCCTGACGTCCACACTTATATAAACTTCTGATTTTCACACCTGATGATGATGATTGCTTGTGTTGCAATCGAAACGTCATGATTTAATTAACTTTTTTTTTTACCTACGTGACTTTACCGAAAGATCCTTGCAGTCACGAAAACTTCAAATGTAGAATAGAGCGGAGACATTTGCCGCCGAGGGCAGGGCTGTGGTGTGAGTTGCCGTAAGCCCGTGTTTTGTGGTTGTTACCGGTGTTGTTCATTATTATGAAAGAGTTTTATCGTTACCAGACCATTTTGAGTATGACCACCTTTGACGTCACAGGTTTAGTCAGTCACCGAATAAGGGAATAGGCGACAGTAACGTATGTTGAACTTCTTTCGTACCGTACGTAGCCAACCATGCTAATCTGAGTGTGCGGGGGAGGGGAAGGACAACAAACACGAATCACAAGAAGCAATTCTACAGACGACAATGATAGAGGTGTTGACCGCGTGGTAAGTCACCTTGGCTGGGCCCTTCACGAATACAGAGCTCCGAGCCAGGGTCTCTCTTGAACCCCTCCTTGCACTGGCACACGGTGTCCTGGGCCAAGGAGCAGGCGTGAGCCACCTCCTCATCTGCAAATGGGAAATCGAGAGTTCATCGGTCTCACACACATGCATAACTTGACCTGGTTTTGACAATGTCCGTGATTTGTTTTTGCCACGATAGCAATGTCTCCTCTCAAAGCCTCACCCTCTTAACTACATCGGCCATTCCCTTCCTCGTCAGTCCCCTCGCCCCTCCACTCCTCCCCATCCCTCCCCTATAACCCCTCTCACGACCCCTCTTATTTATTGAATTCTCTTTTTTTTCTTTCTCTTTTTCAATCTTTTTTTCTCCATTTCTTTTTTGTCTCGTTAATTTCCTCTTTTTTCTTTCCTTTTTTCTTCATTTTCTCATTGTTTTTCTCTCTCTTTTTTCTTTCAAATTTTTCTTCATTTTTTTCCTCTTTTTCTCTTTCCTCGTTTTTTATTTCCTTCTCTGTTTTGTTGCGTCGTGTTTCGTGCGTAAAGTCAAGCGACGCCTAAATGGCACCGCATCCTCCATCGTGATTGCGACGACGGTGCGAGTCATTCCTGTTACCTGGTCCGCAAGCCCCGCACGGCATGCACGTCTTCTCCTGGTGATCTCGGTTGCTGAAGGTGCCCTCAGGGCATAGATTACACCAGGGGTCCATGCCATCGGTGATGCAGTCGACAATCTTGAAAGTCCCTATGAAGAGAAACATGGCAGTGTGCTTGGTGAACTTTTCAACATTTTAGATGGAAAAACTACGTAGCTCTTTGTCAATCTACTTCTGGATATATTTCCAGATGCCCAGTCTGTCATGGGGGTTATGTCACCATACTGTGGGGGAGCGGTAGTTTAGCGGCGCTATGGACCCGGTGGCCCGAGTTCGATCCCCGCTCACGGTAGACACTGGCGACGATTATCTGAACCGACTCAACCTCAAATGAGTACCTGGTGCGGTGTGTAGTAAACATCGCCACTAGGGAGACAAAGGCGGCATGGTGCTGGTAACCCACCCCCTCGTGTGCTGTGCCGGCCTTCATAGGTGCTACTTGCTAACAGCACATGCCCCAACAGTCTGTTCAGGCTATAGGGGGGATTTTTGTCTTTGTGACCGTTCTTTACCAGGCTGCTCAGTGCGGGTTGGTGAATGGGTAGTGGGGCTTGCTTGGTTAAATAAAAAAATGGTTTAGTTTCAGTATGGGTCTCTGCGGGTCTCTAAGAGTGTGGGTCTCTGTGGGTCTCTATGAGTGTGGGTCTCTTTGGGTCTCTATGAGTGTGGGTCTCTGTGGGTCTATAAGAGTGTAGGTCTTTGGGTATCTATAAGTCTGTAGAATCACGTGTTTAGAGTATTTGGCGGCTATAAATGTTCACGCGATACGCCACTTCGCCTCGCTATGATTTGTGATAGTCACGTCGCTGCTGACAAAAGGGCTGCATAGCTCAGTGGGGGCCTTGGTACAATGAACAAAAATAGTTTCGTTTTGGTTGTGTTTCCTTACCTGGGCGGCATAGTCTGCAGCAGAAGCCCTGGTGTGTTTTGTAGAAGCCGCGATCGCAATCTCTGTCGGCCAGAATGGCAGCGGCAGAGACGATCTACACAGAGAGGGTGCAGCGGACAAACGAATTTGGGGTAAATCGAAACTCCCGTCATCATCCTCGCAGCTAGGCCTCGGCAAGGTACGGTAAAAGGTCAAAAGCATCGAGCCTACCTTTACCCTACCTTTCACCCTTACCCCATACAAATTACCCGATTACAGGGTAATTACTGGGGTACTACTACACATGAACAAGGTTTATAACAGGTAAATGCTTGGTAGAGCGCTTTATTCATGTAAAATACTCTCGATGATTCCAATTTTAAATGGAGGCCACAGACTGGGACAGGGAGCTTTTAGCGAGTGGTAAACACAAGGTGTTTACCGGATAATATTTCACGCTACGTTTACCCTACAGGGTAACACTTCACACCACCTTTACCCTACAGGGTAACACTTCACGCTTCCTTTACCCTACAGGGTAACACTTCACGTCGCCTTTACCCTACAGAGTAACACTTCACACCACCTTTACCCTACAGCGTAACACTTCACACCACCTTTACCCTACAGGGTAACACTTCACACCACCTTTACCCTACAGCGTAACACTTCACACCACCTTTACCCTACAGAGTAACACTTCACACCACCTTTACCCTACAGCGTAACACTTCACACCACCTTTACCCTACAGAGTAACACTTCACACCACCTTTACCCTACAGGGTAACACTTCACACCACCTTTACCCTACAGAGTAACACTTCACACCACCTTTACCCTACAGGGTAACACTTCACACCACCTTTACCCTACAGCGTAACACTTCACACCACCTTTACCCTACAGCGTAACACTTCACACCACCTTTACCCTACAGGGTAACACTTCACGTCACCTTTACCCTACAGGGTAACACTTCACACCACCTTTACCCTACAGCGTAACACTTCACACCACCTTTACCCTACAGCGTAACACTTCACACCACCTTTACCCTACAGCGTAACACTTCACGTCACCTTTACCCTACAGGGTAACACTTCACGCTGCCTTTACCCTACAGCGTAACACTTCACACCACCTTTACCCTACAGAGTAACACTTCACACCACCTTTACCCTACAGCGTAACACTTCACACCACCTTTACCCTACAGCGTAACACTTCACGCTGCCTTTACCCTACAGAGTAACACTTCACACCACCTTTACCCTACAGCGTAACACTTCACACCACCTTTACCCTACAGAGTAACACTTCACACCACCTTTACCCTACAGAGTAACACTTCACACCACCTTTACCCTACAGAGTAACACTTCACACCACCTTTACCCTACAGAGTAACACTTCACACCACCTTTACCCTACAGAGTAACACTTCACGTCACCTTTACCCTACAGAGTAACACTTCACACCACCTTTACCCTACAGAGTAACACTTCACACCACCTTTACCCTACAGAGTAACACTTCACGCCACCTTTACCCTACAGAGTAACACTTCACACCACCTTTACCCTACAGAGTAACACTTCACACCACCTTTACCCTACAGAGTAACACTTCACACCACCTTTACCCTACAGGGTAACACTTCACGTCACCTTTACCCTACAGGGTAACACTTCACGTCACCTTTACCCTACAGGGTAACACTTCACGTCACCTTTACCCTACAGGGTAACACTTCACGCCACCTTTACCCTACAGAGTAACACTTCACACCACCTTTACCCTACAGGGTAACACTTCACACCACCTTTACCCTACAGAGTAACACTTCACACCACCTTTACCCTACAGGGTAACACTTCACGCCACCTTTACCCTACAGAGTAACACTTCACGTCACCTTTACCCTACAGGGTAACACTTCACACCACCTTTACCCTACAGAGTAACACTTCACACCACCTTTACCCTACAGAGTAACACTTCACGTCACCTTTACCCTACAGAGTAACACTTCACACCACCTTTACCCTACAGAGTAACACTTCACACCACCTTTACCCTACAGGGTAACACTTCACGCCACCTTTACCCTACAGGGTAACACTTACTCTATACCACAGAGCCCACTGCATCTCAGACCAACACCACCTAGCCAGTGAATTGGAACATGTACATCTGGCCATCAATATGAACGGGTACTCTAACCGTGCTATCTGCCAGGCTGTGTCTCCCAATGTGGTGAAACAACCCCTTGAGACCCCGATCAAAATCATTACGTTGCCATACATAGCAGGCGTGACCAAAAAGATTTCCAAAATTCGAAACAAACAAAAGATCCAGGTCAGATTCGATACAGTACACAAGATCCGTGATCTGATCCCATCCGTAAAGGATGTCATTCCTGACTTACAATACCCTGGTGTCTACAAACTGAGTTGCACCTGTGGCGATTGTTATATCGGGGAAACGAAACGACACATTGCTGATTGCATTCGCGACCACAAATCGGATTTGAAACATGGCAGGACGAATTATTCGGCCGTAGCTGACCACTGTTTTATTTCTGTGGGTTCTCATGACATTGTGTTCTCCGATTCCAAGGTACTCTGCAGGCCTCCTGGATACCACCAGAGATTTGTCCACGAAGCCATCCAGATATACAAACATAGACATAACTTTAACCGAGAGGATGGATTCAAATTGAGCAATCATTGGAAAGATGTAATTAACCAAGTTAAACTTTAGCTACCGTGCAGTTTACTGCTAGACAGCCAGTTTATATTTATTCTCATGTCCATATCCATTTTCCCAGTATGTTACCCGCTAGTTTCACTCACTACCATCACCATACACTGTTTTGGCTTGCACAGGTCTAAGCTACCCACCCCCGCAGCATAACAAAGGCTGCTTAATCTTAGCATTCCTATCTACTTCCGCTCCCTGCATCACAAAAGCTTCATCAGTTGCCTCCAAGGACATCATCGTCGTCCCTCCCCTCCATCTCCCGTGACTAGTTACAGCCATCTCTTAGACACACTTAAGCTGTTGTGCTTACGCTACGTTGTCCCCACCTGAAGAAGGACGCTTGTGTTGCGCCCGAAACGTCGTGATTCGATTTAATTACATTTTTGTTGTTTTCATTTAATTAAATTTTTTTACCCACGTGACTTTACCGAAAAACCAAAGAGTATGAATCCTTGCAGTTACGAAAACTTCAAATCTAGGGTAATAATTCACGCCACCTTTACCCTACAGGATAACACTTCACGCTACCTTTAGCCTACCCTTTACCTTACCCCTTGGCATGTCGACACCTTTACCTTCTACCCAGTAAAAAGGGTAAATTACCTTACGTTGCCGAGGCCTACTCGCAGTGGCGGCGGCGGCGGCTTCGCCGTCGAACAAAGGCGGTGGTCACCGCAATTGCGCGGGGCTTTCAGATGCGCTTCTGCGGCCGTCTGGAACGTTCTTTCCTTCCGATAACTATTAGGTAGGCACTGGAGCTATGGTGTATGTTTTGCATCATCGAGATCGACAAACTCATTTCTTTAGAACCGCTTTTTGCGTTCAGGTTTGTTGTCCTGCGGTTAAACGATCCAAACTAAACTAATTATCGACTACAAACTACTTTTATTTTACCAGGTAAGGCCCCACTGAGCAACGTAGCTCTTTTTCAGAAGCGACCTGGCCATCACAAATGATAGCTCAACGAAGTGGCTTACCACGTGGAAATGTATCGCAGCCAAATGCTCTACAAAACGCACGTTTGTAAATGTGGAGGGAACAACGGGAGGATAATCCACGCGACCACCACCGGGAGAGAGACACGCAAACACCAAATATACAACAGGTGTCAGGGTCGGGATCGATCCTACGGCCTCCTGTATTCCAAGGTGAGGTAGTTAGCATCTCACTCTGGGAAGAGAGAGAGAGAGACGCAGACTACAATTATACAGCAGCAGGCATCGTCAGGGTCGGGATCGAACCTACAACTTCCAGTAGACAGGGCGAGGTAGTTAACATCTCACTATGGGGAGAGAGAGACGCCGACTCCAAATATACAGCAGCAGGCATTGTCAGGGTCGGGATCGAACCCACTACCTCCTGTATACCAGGCGAGGTAGTTAGCATCTCGCCAAGGGGAGAGGAGAGAGAGACGCAGTCAACGTTAGGGTCGGGATCGGACCCACGACCTCCTGTAATCCAGCCGAGGTAGTTAACATCCCACCACGTGGAGAGAGAGAGAGACGCAGTAATCGTCAGGTTCAGGATCGAACCCACGACCTCTTGTATACCAGGCGAGGTAGTGAACATCTCCGAGCCACTGCCGTGCCAAATGAGCTGAATTCAATCCTCCACCTAGAGCTTGTTTTCACGCTCAGGGAGTCGATTCATGAATCTGGCTTTGCGGCTTCCTCGCCTGTGCTGTGGTTCCGTGGATCGGGCACATTGGGTTTGCCACCTCAGGTGTGGTGGGTTCACAGTCTTCTTCCTCCGTTGTACGGATTAAGAGCAGCGGGTTCAAGATGTCAGCTTAGATGCTGCTATCCATTCATTCGTCTGCTCAGAAGCGGAGCGGAGACGGTGGCGGTGTTCACTATAATAAAAATAAGAATGTCACACGCATTGTCTTTGAAGGCGATTGGCCTACACCAGAAACAGCAGCCTTCTTTATGGCCTAGTATCACTCCCTACGCAGTGTCTCACCACCCAGTGTCTCACCACCCAGTGTCTCACTAGCAGTGTCTCACCACCCAATGTCTCACCACCCAGTGTCTCACTAGCAGTGTCTCACCACCCAGTGTCTCACCACCCAGTGTCTCATTACCCAGTGTCTCACTACCCAGTGTCTCACCACCCAGTGTCTCACCACCCAGTGTCTCACTAGCAGTGTCTCACCACCCAGTGTCTCACCACCCAGTGTCTCACTAGCAGTGTCTCACTACCCAGTGTCTCACCACCCAGTGTCTCACTAGCAGTGTCTCACCACCCAGTGTCTCACCACCCAGTGTCTTATTACCCAGTGTCTCACTACCCAGTGTCTCACTACCCAGTGTCTCACTACCCAGTATCTCACCACCCAGTGTCTCACCACCCAGTGTCTCTCTACCCAGTGTCTCACCACCCAGTGTCTCACCACCCAGTGTCTCATTACCCAATGTCTCACCACCAGTGTCTCACCACCCAGTGTCTCACCACCCAGTGTCTCACCACCCAGTGTCTCACTAGCAGTGTCTCACCACCCAGTGTCTCACTACCCAGTGTCTCACCACCCAGTGTCTCACTACCCAGTGTCTCACTAGCAGTGTCTCACTACCCAATGTCTCACTACCCAGTGTCTCACCACCCAGTGTCTCACCACCCAGTGTCTCACTACCCAATGTCTCACCACCAGTGTCTCACCACCCAGTGTCTCACCACCCAGTGTCTCACCACCCAGTGTCTCACTAGCAGTGTCTCACCACCCAGTGTCTCACTACCCAGTGTCTCACCACCCAGTGTCTCACTACCCAGTGTCTCACTAGCAGTGTCTCACTACCCAGTGTCTCACCACCCAGTGTCTCACTATCAGTGTCTCACTACCAGTGTCTCACTACCCAGTGTCTCACCACCAGTGTCTCACCACCCAGTGTCTCACTAGCAGCCTCACTAGCAGTGTCTCACTAGCAGTGTCTCACTACCCAGTGTCTCATTACCCAGTGTCTCATTACCCAGTGTCTCACTACCCAGTGTCTCACTAGCAGTGTCTCACTACCCAGTGTCTCACTACCCAGTGTCTTACTACCCAGTATCTCACCACCCAGTGTCTCACCACCCAGTGTCTCACTACCCAGTGTCTCACTAGCAGCCTCACTAGCAGTGTCTCACTAGCAGTGTCTCACTACCCAGTGTCTCATTACCCAGTGTCTCACTACCCAGTGTCTCACTACCCAGTGTCTCATTACCAGTGTCTCACCACCCAGTGTCTCACCACCCAGTGTCTCACTACCCAGTGTCTCACTACCCAGTGTCTCATTACCAGTGTCTCACCACCCAGTGTCTCACCACCCAGTGTCTCATTACCCAGTGTCTCACTACCCAGTTTCTCACTACCCAGTGTCTAACTACCCAGTGTCTCACCACCAGTGTCTCATTACCCAGTGTTTCACTACCCAGTGTCTCACCACCCAGTGTCAGACAGTGGTATAAATAAACACATAACAGGTGAGTGTCACTGGTTACAATGAACAGGTGAGTGAGTGTGAGTTGTCCTCACCACGAGGAGGAGGATTCCCCTCCACTCAACTGCTCTCTTCCACAGAATCATGTCGTGATCCTCTCGTCCTCCTGTGTCAGCAGCTCAGGTTCATCACCGATGCTTCTTCACTCGCTCACAAAGTCTCCCCCGTGTCTCTCCAATGGGATCTCCGCGATTAGCACGGTTGCAGATGTACGGCGCGATAGAAGTTGGACATACGTACACCACACTATGCACTACTATACACTATACTGCTATATACTACACTATACACTACACTACTATTCACTACACTGCTATACACTACACTGCTATACACTACACTATACACTACTATACACAGCACTGCTATATATCACTACACACTACACCACTATACACTACACGACTATACACTGCACTATACACTGCACTACTATACACTACACCACTATACACTGCACTATACACTGCACTACTATACACTACACCAATATACACTACTATACACGACAATACACTACACTATACACTACTATACACTACACCACTATACACTACACTATACACCACCACTATACTCGATTGAGAACTAATGTTTGTAGAACCGCTCTTCGTTGCTGTGTTCAGTCTGTAATCCTTCCCCACCGGCACCTCCGATTAGCCACGGCTGGCTACGTACGGCGCCAAATAAGTTCTACATACGTACACATACATACGTAGCGTAGCTTTGTCAAGGTTAAACACACGGTCTATAGTTTGATCGCCTCTTTAAAACAAAAGCGAGAGAAAGAGAGGGAGACAGCCAGCTACGACTCTGTTGTTTCGACATGTACAGCAATGCACCTGAACTGACTTCCTTGAGTAGTTTCAGGTCAAGGTGCGTGGGAGAGAGAGAGGGGGGTGGGGGGTTGTTTAGAGTGCCACTGCAAAAATGTATTGTCTCGAGACAAAAAGATAACACGCGAAATGGTGCAAACGCCACGTTGGTTAGGGAGATGTTGACTACCTCGCTTGGTCTACAGGAGGACGTGGGTCCTGTTAGATGCTGACTACCTTGCCTGGTCTACAGGAGGTCGTGGGTTCTGTGAGATGTTGACTAGCTCGTCCGGTCTACAGGAGGTCGTGGGTCCTGCTGTATATTTGGAGTCTGCGTCTCTCTCCCCGTGATGAGATGTTGACTACCTCGCCTGGTATACAGGAGGTCGTGGGTTCTGTGAGATGTTGACTAGCTCGTCCGGTATACAGGAGGTCGTGGGTCCTGCTGTATATTTGGAGTCTGCGTCTCTCTCCCCGTGATGAGATGTTGACTACCTCGCCTGGTCTACAGGAGGTCGTGGGTTCTGTGAGATGTTGACTAGCTCGTCCGGTATACAGGAGGTCGTGGGTCCTGCTGTATATTTGGAGTCTGCGTCTCTCTCCCCGTGATGAGATGTTGACTACCTCGCCTGGTCTACAGGAGGTCGTGGGTTCTGTGAGATGTTGACTAGCTCGTCCGGTATACAGGAGGTCGTGGGTCCTGCTGTATATTTGGAGTCTGCGTCTCTCTCCCCGTGATGAGATGTTGACTACCTCGCCTGGTCTACAGGAGGTCGTGGGTTCTGTGAGATGTTGACTAGCTCGTCCGGTATACAGGAGGTCGTGGGTCCTGCTGTATATTTGGAGTCTGCGTCTCTCTCCCCGTGATGAGATGTTGACTACCTCGCCTGGTCTACAGGAGGTCGTGGGTTCTGTGAGATGTTGACTAGCTCGTCCGGTATACAGGAGGTCGTGGGTCCTGCTGTATATTTGGAGTCTGCGTCTCTCTCCCCGTGATGAGATGTTGACTACCTCGCCTGGTCTACAGGAGGTCGTGGGTTCTGTGAGATGTTGACTAGCTCGTCCGGTATACAGGAGGTCGTGGGTCCTGCTGTATATTTGGAGTCTGCGTCTCTCTCCCCGTGATGAGATGTTGACTACCTCGCCTGGTCTACAGGAGGTCGTGGGTTCTGTGAGATGTTGACTAGCTCGTCCGGTATACAGGAGGTCGTGGGTCCTGCTGTATATTTGGAGTCTGCGTCTCTCTCCCCGTGATGAGATGTTGACTACCTCGCCTGGTCTACAGGAGGTCGTGGGTTCTGTGAGATGTTGACTAGCTCGTCCGGTATACAGGAGGTCGTGGGTCCTGCTGTATATTTGGAGTCTGCGTCTCTCTCCCCGTGATGAGATGTTGACTACCTCGCCTGGTCTACAGGAGGTCGTGGGTTCTGTGAGATGTTGACTAGCTCGTCCGGTATACAGGAGGTCGTGGGTCCTGCTGTATATTTGGAGTCTGCGTCTCTCTCCCCGTGATGAGATGTTGACTACCTCGCCTGGTCTACAGGAGGTCGTGGGTTCTGTGAGATGTTGACTAGCTCGTCCGGTATACAGGAGGTCGTGGGTCCTGCTGTATATTTGGAGTCTGCGTCTCTCTCCCCGTGATGAGATGTTGACTACCTCGCCTGGTCTACAGGAGGTCGTGGGTTCTGTGAGATGTTGACTAGCTCGTCCGGTATACAGGAGGTCGTGGGTCCTGCTGTATATTTGGAGTCTGCGTCTCTCTCCCCGTGATGAGATGTTGACTACCTCGCCTGGTCTACAGGAGGTCGTGGGTTCTGTGAGATGTTGACTAGCTCGTCCGGTATACAGGAGGTCGTGGGTCCTGCTGTATATTTGGAGTCTGCGTCTCTCTCCCCGTGATGAGATGTTGACTACCTCGCCTGGTCTACAGGAGGTCGTGGGTTCTGTGAGATGTTGACTAGCTCGTCCGGTATACAGGAGGTCGTGGGTCCTGCTGTATATTTGGAGTCTGCGTCTCTCTCCCCGTGATGAGATGTTGACTACCTCGCCTGGTCTACAGGAGGTCGTGGGTTCTGTGAGATGTTGACTAGCTCGTCCGGTATACAGGAGGTCGTGGGTCCTGCTGTATATTTGGAGTCTGCGTCTCTCTCCGGCTTCTCCTCTACATTTACAATCAACTTCAGCACGCGTTTAATCCCCAGCTTACGAACATCGACACCAAAGACCTCGACTTACGAACACGTCATTAAAACATGTGCACGGACACCTCCACTTAGGGAACACTCCCCACTTACGAACACTGACACAAACATGCGGCTTCCTTGAACTCCTTTTTTAAAAAAGATTTTTCGGACATTAACTTAAAAATGCAAACAGGACCGCATAGTGCTGGGCATGTGTGTCTGTGTGTGTCTGTGTGTTTGTGTCTGTGTGTGTTTGTGTGTGTGTGTCACCTGCACAGATGCCATATTTTTTGTCCGTCTGCTACAGCAGAGGTGTAGGGAATTGCAACAGGACCTACATCTCTGCTTTATTGACCTGGTCAAGGCCGATGATACCATCAGTAGGCCTGGGCTCTGGGTTGTTCTTCGTGCTTTTGGTGTCCCTGACCCTCTGCTCACGATCATTAAGGACCTTCATGATGATGAGCGGGCCCGGGTAAAACTACGTGGCCGGGAGTCGGAGACATTCCCTGTACACCTTGGGGTGCGACAGGGATGTCCTCTGGCTCCCACATTATTTAACATCTATTTTGACCACGTGGTTCGTGAAGCCTTCAATGGCTGTACCGGGGGAATTTCCATTTGGTACAAATATACAGTGAGGGAAAAAAGTATTTGATCCCCTGCTGATTTTGTACGTTTGCCCACTGACAAAGAAATGATCAGTCTATAATTTTAATGGTAGGTTTATTTGAACAGTGAGAGACAGAATAACAACAAAAAATCCAGAAAAAAGCATGTCAAAAATGTTATAAATTGATTTGCATTTTAATGAGGGAAATAACTATTTGGCTGATCGATGCCCGGGTGCGATCAAGGGATGTCTCCCTATTGGTCAACCACGTTATGTATGCCGATGATTTGGTAATAGCTGCTCATTCAGAGGAGGAGTTGGAGACGCTGCTGCTGAGACTGGAGCGTGCCACTAAGAGGTGGGGCCTTACCATCAGCCCCACCAAAATTAAGCACCTACCTGGGTATTTTGTACCATCGGACACTCCACCCCCACAACTCCAAATCGGTGATGGGGCAGTAGTGGAGAGAGTGGAGAGTTTCCCGTACCTGGGCAGTGTGCTTATGACCGGCTCTACTATACACTACACTTCTATACACTACTATACACTACACTACTATAAACTACACTACTATACACTACACACTACACTATACTACTATATACTACACTATACACTACTATACACTACACTACTACACTGCTATACACTACACTACTATACACTACACACTATACACTACTATACACTACACTACTATACACTACACTAAACACTACACTACTATACACTACACACTATACACTACACTACTATACACTACACTACTATACACTACACTACTACACACCACACTACTATACACTACACTACTATACACTACTATACTATACACCACACTACTATACTATACACCACACTATACATTACACTATTATACACTACATTACTATACACTGCACTATACACTACACTATACACTACGCTATACACTACTATACTATACATTACTATAAACTACACTACTATACACTACACTACTACACTGCTATACACTACACTACTATACACTACACACTATACACTACTATACACCACACTATACATTACACTAAACACTACACTACTATACACTACACACTATACACTACACTACTATACACTACACTACTATACTATACACCACACTATACATTACACTACTATACACTACATTACGATACACTGCACTATACACTACACTATACACTACTATACTATACACTACTATACACTACACTACTATACACCACACTATACACTACACACTACACTACTACACACCACACGAGTGCTGTACTTGTAACGTTCTGTTCACGTGACAAACCCCCCCCGGTTCCTCGTCGGCTGTGGAGTGGTTTGACTTCACGACCCACAAACACAAAACTCTCTGCTGTGGATTCCATTAGTTCGTTGGGACATCACAATTCCCGATTGTATTAGTAACCAGAAATGTGTTCAATAACTCACCCACCCACCCCTCCCCTCCCTCCCTCCCTCCCTCCCTCCACCCACCCACCCCTCCCTCCACCCACCCACCCACCCACCCCTCCCTCCACCCACCCACCCACCCACCCCTCCCTCCACCCACCCACCCACCCACCCCTCCCTCCACCCACCCACCCACCCACCCCTCCCTCCACCCACCCACCCACCCCTCCCTCCACCCACCCACCCACCCACCCCTCCCTCCACCACCCACCCACCCACCCCTCCCTCCACCCACCCACCCACCCACCCCTCCCTCCCTCCCTCCCTCCACCCACCCACCCACCCCTCCCTCCACCCACCCACCCACCCCTCCCTCCCTCCACCCACCCACCCACCCACCCCTCCCTCCACCCACCCACCCACCCCTCCCTCCACCCACCCCACCCACCCCTCCCTCCACCCACCCACCCACCCACCCCTCCCTCCCTCCCTCCCTCCCTCCCTCCCTCCCTCCCTCCCTCCCTCCCTCCCTCCCTCCCTCCCTCCCTCCCTCCCTCCCTCCCTCCCTCCCTCCCTCCCTCCCTCCCTCCCTCCCTCCACCCACCCACCCACCCACCCCTCCCTTTGTTTCGTATATAATGGAGTAATGTTTACAATGTGTAAGCTTTGCAACGATATATAACAAATCAACGAAACGGCCAATGAATTGTTTATTTGAGTAATGAAATAATTTACCGACCGATACATTAGTTATCTACTTAATTGTTAAATAAATATGTTAATTAATCGATTACTCAATGAACCCAACCGCTAAATTAATCATTAATTTGTTGAATTGTATCGCTTAAGTAATTACTCGACGAATCAATTAAGCAAACGAACAGGTATTTAATAATTTATATGATTAAGATGTTAGATTCATCGATAAACTTGACAATTATCGAACAACGAAATTATTAAATCGATTAATCGATCGATTAACCAATACGCTTGCAGACATGGATTTATTTATTTATTTATCCGGGCCCGGTCGCTAGGGAAGCCTTTGTCTTGCCTAGCCCGCAACGAACAGCCGAGCTAGGCCGCGGGCACGGCAGGCTACAGTGACAACAACAAAAAACATAGCCGGCCAAACAAACTAAATAAAAAAGAAACTAATTTAACGAATAAACCCCCATTAATAATTTGTTTAATTCATTTGAAAAAAGCAACTACAGCGGAGGATTAAATAAAACTAAAAATTTCGTTGACCGGGCGGCGGGGGGGGAGGAAGGCTTTTACCGACTCTCGCCTAGTCGCCTCTGCGGGCCTGAGGCGCCCCTTCCCCCGCCGGGCGAATCTATCCGAGCGGGGGGGCGGGTGTTTTAACATAGGCCTAGATTTTTTTGTTAAAATATTAAATTTACCACTCTGTACCTAATAAACACGCGCATTACATACATAACATGTACTCTGTGAGCGTATAAACGTTTAGAGAGGTTTATTTCGGGAAAATGCGGGCGTTTTTGCCGGCCAGTGTTCCGGCGGTAACCACGATTTGGATAATCGCCGCTCTCTTTGTCGTCATCTTGACACTTTGTGGCTACGTGGACGAGACGGCGCTGGCGCTAGACCCGTCCAGAATGGGCCTCAATCTGCAAGGTGAGACCCCCTTCTGATGCCCTAATTCAGTTTAATAGTTTGCAGTAATCTTTGTGCTGTGTGTGTGTCCTGTTTCGCGTTCTCTGCATCGAGTTTAGTCAATCCCCCCCCCCCCCCCCAATGTGTGACTTGGTTTCGTCCACTGTGTAGTGAGTAAGGGCGTGTGGAATGTACCATCCACTGCGAGGGGGAAGAGTTGGTCTTCCAGAATGCGGCTCAATCTGCAACGTAAGCCCCCTTCAGAAGCTCTGATTTAGTTGAATAATTAATTCGTAATAATGTTTGTGGAGTGTGCGTACTATCTCCCATTCTCTTAATGATCGACTTTAGCTCAAATTGGATTTTGACAAACACTCTAGAGACCCATAGAGACCCACAGAGACCTACACTCATAGAGACCCATACAGACCCACAGAGACCCACACTCATAGAGACCCACAGAGACTCACACTCATAGAGACCCACACAGACCCACAGAGACCCACACTCATAGAGACCCACAGAGACCCACACTCATAGAGACCCACAGAGACTCGCACTCATAGAGACCCACAGAGACCCACAGAGACCCACACTCATAGAGACCCACAGAGACTCGCACTCACAGAGACCCACAGAGACTCACACTCATAGAGACCCACACAGACCCACACTCATAGAGACCCACAGAGACTCGCACTCATAGAGACCCACAGAGACCCACACTCATAGAGACCCACAGAGACTCGCACTCATAGAGACCCACAGAGACTCACACTCATAGAGACCCACACAGAGACCCACACTCATAGAGACCCACAGAGACTCACACTCATAGAGACCCACAGAGACCCACACTCATAGAGACCCACACTCATAGAGACCCATAGAGACCCACACTCACAGAGACCCACACTCATAGAGACCCACACTCATAGAGACCTACAGAGACTCACACTCATAGAGACCCACATAGACCCACACTCACAGAGACCCACAGAGACCCACACTCACAGAGACTCACACTCATAGAGACCCACAGAGACCCACACTCATAGAGACCCACAGAGACCCACACTCACAGAGACCCACAGAGACTCACACTAATAGAGACCCACAGAGACCCACACTCATAGAGACCCATAGAGACCCACAGAGACTCACACTCAGAGACCCACAGAGACTCACACTCATAGAGACCCATAGAGACCCACAGAGACCCACACTCATAGAGACCCACAGTGACTCACACTCATAGAGACCCACAGAGACCCACACTCATAGAGACCCACAGAGACTCACACTCATAGAGACCCACAGAGACCCACACTCATAGATACCCATAGAGACCCACACTCACAGAGACCCACAGAGACCCACACTCATAGAGACCCACAGAGACCCACACTCACAGAGACCCACAGAGACTCACACTCATAGAGACCCACAGAGACCCACACTCATAGAGACCCACAGAGACTCACACTCATAGAGACCCACAGAGACTCACACTCATAGAGACCCACAGTGACTCACACTCATAGAGACCCACAGAGACTCACACTCATAGAGACCCACAGTGACTCACACTCATAGAGACCCACAGAGACTCACACTCATAGAGACCCACAAAGACTCACACTCATAGAGACCCACAGTGACTCACACTCATAGAGACCCACAGAGACTCACACTCATAGAGACCCACAGAGACTCACACTCATAGAGACCCACAGAGACTCACACTCATAGAGACCCACAGAGACTCACACTCATAGAGACCCACAGAGACTCACACTCATAGAGACCCACAGAGACCCACACTCATAGAGACCCACAGAGACTCACACTCATAGAGACCCACAGAGACCCACACTCATAGAGACCCATACAGACACACAGGAATTATTCTTTGGTTCTTTCGGTTAAGTCACGTCTAAAGATAAAATAATAAATTAAATAATAGCATATTACGACGTTTCGATTGCAACACAAGCAATCATCATCAGGCATAAAAGAAATAGCAACAAAAATCTAACTAGAAAACTATAGACAGACATACAAGCAGACAGACATCACAAGGACACAAACGACCTCTCTCTTTGTGCCGATATGTGTCCTCTCTCTGTGTGTCCTTGTGATGTCTGTCTGCTTGTATGTCTGTCTATAGTTTTCTAGTTAGATTTTTGTTGCTATTTCTTTTATGCCTGATGATGATTGCTTGTGTTGCAATCGAAACGTCGTAATATGCTATTATTTAATTTATTATTTTATCTTTAGACGTGACTTAACTGAAAGAACCAAAGAATAACCCCTCCCCTTGTGCGTTTGGGACCTGGTATCACCCATTGGGTGTGTGCGTCAGGGCGTATGGAGTATACCATTCACTATAGGGGGTTGGAGCGGGGTTGCAGATAGAACTTGTAATATTTAGACTGGAGGAAATCCGAAGAGCTATGAAGCTCTTCAGCACAGATGTTCAGGTGGTAAGGGGGCAACGGGGTCGGAACGTTACGACAAACATTGCACAAACACGAAAATGCGTGCAAAGTATACGAAAAGTAAATACATCATTTTAAAACGCACAGATACAATTGTTGAGACCCAGACTAAAAATGCAACTATTTAAAAAGAAATGATTCTTCAGAAGCCTGACCTGGCTATCACAAATGATAGCAGCTCAACCTACTGGCTGATATAATCACCATCATCACCATCACCACCATCATCACCACCATCATCATCACCATCACCACCATCATCACCACCACCATCACCACCATCATCATCACCATCATCATAACGTGTTGACTTTTATAGCAGCAGTCAAAGACTGAACGCACGATTCTACAGACTCTGAGAGACCCACAGAGACCCACACTCTAGAGACCCATAGAGACCCACAGAGACCCGCACTCGAGAGACCCATAGAGACCCGCACTCTAGAGACCCATAGAGACCCACAGAGACCCACACTCTAGAGACCCATAGAGACCCACAGAGACCCGCACTCTAGAGACCCATAGAGACCCACAGAGACCCGCACTCTAGAGACCCATAGAGACCCACAGAGACCTACACTCATAGAGACCCATAGAGACCCACAGAGACCCGCACTCTAGAGACCCATAGAGACCCACAGAGACCCGCACTCTAGAGACCCATAGAGAGAACCCGCACTCTAGAGACCCATAGAGACCCACAGAGACCCGCACTCTAGAGACCCATAGAGACCCACAGAGACCCGCACTCTAGAGACCCATAGAGACCCACAGAGACCTACACTCATAGAGACCCATAGAGACCCACAGAGACCCGCACTCTAGAGACCCATAGAGACCCACAGAGACCCGCACTCTAGAGACCCATAGAGACCCACAGAGACCTACACTCATAGAGACCCATAGAGACCCACAGAGACCCGCACTCTAGAGACCCATAGAGACCCACAGAGACCCGCACTCTAGAGACCCATAGAGACCCACAGAGACCTACACTCATAGAGATCCACACTCATAGAGACCCACAGAGACCTACACTCATAGAGACCCATAGAGACCTACACTCATAGAGACCCACACTCATAGAGACCCACAGAGACCTACACTCATAGAGACCCACAGAGACCTACACTCATAGAGACCCATAGAGACCTACACTCATAGAGACCCATAGAGACCTACACTCATAGAGACCCACAGAGACCTACACTCATAGAGACCCACACTTATAGAGACCCACAGAGACCTACACTCATAGAGACCCACACTCATAGAGACCCACAGAGACCTACACTCATAGAGATCCACACTCATAGAGACCCACAGAGACCTACACTCATAGAGACCCATAGAGACCTACACTCATAGAGACCCATAGAGACCTACACTCATAGAGACCCACACTCATAGAGACCCACAGAGACCTACACTCATAGAGACCCATAGAGACCTACACTCATAGAGACCCATAGAGACCTACACTCATAGAGACCCACAGAGACCTACACTCATAGAGACCCACACTTATAGAGACCCACAGAGACCTACACTCATAGAGACCCACACTCATAGAGACCCACAGAGACCCACACTCATAGAGACCCACAGAGACCCACACTCACAGAGACCCACAGAGACCTACACTCATAGAGACCCACACTCATAGAGACCCACAGAGACCTACACTCATAGAGACCCACACTCATAGAGACCCACAGAGACCCACACTCATAGAGACCCACAGAGACCTACACTCATAGAGACCCACACTCATAGAGACCCATACAGACCCACAGAGACTCACTCATAGAGACCCAGAGAGACTCACACTCATAGAGACCCATACAGATCCACAGAGACTCACACTCATAGAGACCCAGAGAGACTCACACTCATAGAGACCCACAGAGACTCACACTCATAGAGACCCAGAGAGACTCACACTCATAGAGACCCAGAGAGACTCACACTCATAGAGACCCATACAGATCCACAGAGACTCACACTCATAGAGACCCAGAGAGACTCACACTCATAGAGACCCACAGAGACTCACACTCATAGAGACCCAGAGAGACTCACACTCATAGAGACCCAGAGAGACTCACACTCATAGAGACCCATACAGACACACAGAGACTCACACTCAGAGACCCACAGAGACTCACACTCATAGAGACCCACAGAGACTCACACTCATAGAGACCCATATAGACCCACAGAGACCCATAGAGACCCACAGAGACTCACACTCATAGAGACCCACAGAGACTCACACTCATAGAGACCCACAGAGACTCACACTCAGAGACCCATACAGACCCACAGAGACCCATAGAGACCCACAGAGACCCATACTATTCGTTGTTTAAACATCTTAGCCCAACTGTTTTATTGCCAGAAAGAGTAAAACGCTCTTCTTATGTTTTTATACTTTGATACTGTCGAGAAGAGATGTCCCATTTTGAACCGAGGTGGTTGACTGCTTTACACCAACACCACCACCAACACCACCACCACCATCACCACCACCGACATCACCACCACCCGCACCACCCCCACCACCACCACCGACACCACCCCCACCACCGACACCACCACCAACACCACCACCACCGACACCACCACCACCCCCACCACCGACACCACCACCACCATCACCCCCACCACCACCAACACCACCACCACCACCGACACCACCACCACCACCCCCGACCACCACCACCGACACCACCACCGACACCACCACCACCATCACCCCCACCACCACCAACACCACCACCACCACCGACACCACCACCACCACCCCCGACCACCACCACCGACACCACCACCACCCCCATCACCATCACCCCCACCAACCCTGCCACCACCAACACCACCATTACCCCCACCACCCCCACCACCACCCCTACCACCACCACCCCCACCACCACCACAATGTGTCCGCTCCCGCTCCCAGTCTACAGGCTGGTGACCCACCCCATGTGCCCCTGGGGGTTGGCGGGCCTCGTGGGGATGGGCGCCTGGGGGTGGCTCCCCTCCCCGCTGCTCGTGGGGCTGCTGGGAGTGCCTCTGGAGAGGCTCCTGGGCTCCGCACGCTTCGGCCTCCTGGCGCTACTCACCTCCCTCCTCGGAGGGCTCCTGGGCCTGGTCCTCTGGACGCTGCTGGGCCCTCCGCCAATGGGTAATAGGGGGCGGCCTGAAGGGTGTTGACTGCCTCGCCCGGTCTGCAGGAGGTCGCGGGTCGTGTTGTTGTATATCTGGAGTCTGCGTCTCTCTCTCTTGCCGTGGTGAGGTGTTAACTACCTTGCCTGGTCTACAGGTGAGATGTTGACTACCTCGCCTGGTATACAGGTGAGATGTTAACTACCTCACCTGGTATACAGGAGTTCGCGGGTCTTGTTGTATATCTGGAGTCTGCGTCTCTCTCTCTCGCTCTCTCTCGCCGTGGTGAGGTGTTGACGACCTCACCTGGTCTACAGGTGAGATGTTGACTGCCTAAGTATGGGTCTCTGTGGGTCTCTTTGAGTGTGGGTCTCTGAGTATGGGTCTCTGTGGGTGTCTATGAGTATGGGTCTCTGTGGGTCTCTTGAGTGTGGGTCTCTGTGTATGGGTCTCTGTGGGTCTCTGAGTATGGGTCTCTGTGGGTGTCTATGAGTATGGGTCTCTGTGGGTGTCTATGAGTGTGGGTCTCTGTGGGTCTCTTTGAGTGTGGGTCTCTGTGGGTCTGTATGGGTCTCTATGAGTGTGGGTCTCTATGGGTCTCTATGAGTGTGGGTCTCTGTGAGTGTGTGTCTGTATGGGTCTCTGTGAGTATGGGTCTCTATGAGTGTGAGTCTCTGTGGGTCTGTATGGGTCTCTGTGAGTGTGGGTCTCTGGGTCTCGATGGGTCTCTATAAGTATGGGTCTCTATGAGTGTGGGTCTCTGTGGGTCTCTATGGGTTTCTGTGAGTGTGGGTCTCGATGGGTATCTCTGAGTCTGCACAATCGCCATGCAGCGGCTCAGTGGGGGGCCTTGCAGCTGGCAAAGAAACAAACAAAAACCTCCGCCGTGACATTTGTGAGTGCGTGTGAGGAGCGGTGGTGCAGCGGTTGGCCCGCTGCGCATGGCGCATGTGTGGTAGTGTAGTGGGTTGGTGTGGTAGTGTAGTGGGTTGGTGTGGTAGTGTAGTGGGTTGGTGTGGTAGTGTAGTGGGTTGGTGTGGTAGTGTAGTAGGTTGGTGTGGTAGTGTAGCAGGTTGGTGTGGTAGTGTAGCGGGTTGGTGTGGTAGTGTAGTGGGTTGGTGTGGTAGTGTAGTAGGTTGGTGTGGTAGTGTAGTAGGTTGGTGTGGTAGTGTAGTAGGTTGGTGTGGTAGTGTAGTAGGTTGGTGTGGTAGTGTAGTAGGTTGGTGTGGTAGTGTAGTAGGTTGGTGTGGTAGTGTAGTAGGTTGGTGTGGTAGTGTAGTAGGTTGGTGTGGTAGTGTAGTGGGTTGGTGTAGTAGTGTAGTAGCTTGGTGTGGTAGTGTAGTGGGTTGGTGTGGTAGTGTAGTAGGTTGGTGTGGTAGTGTAGTAGGTTGGTGTGGTAGTGTAGTAGGTTGGTGTGGTAGTGTAGTAGGTTGGTTTGGTAGTGTAGTAGGTTGGTGTGGTAGTGTAGTGGGTTGGTGTGGTAGTGTAGTGGGTTGGTGTGGTAGTGTAGCGGGTTGGTGTGGTAGTGTAGTGGGTTGGTGTGGTAGTGTAGTAGGTTGGTGTGGTAGTGTAGTAGGTTGGTGTGGTAGTGTAGTAGGTTGGTGTGGTAGTGTAGTAGGTTGGTGTGGTAGTGTATTAGGTTGGTGTGGTAGTGTAGTAGGTTGGTGTGGTAGTGTAGTAGGTTGGTGTGGTAGTGTAGTAGGTTGGTGTGGTAGTGTAGCGGGTTGGCGCGCTGCGCTACGGACGCGTCGGGAGAGCCGAGGAATCGATTCCCGCTCGGGGCAACCGGTGGCGACGATCTGAACCGGCCCTGGGTCGGCTCGGCCTCAAATGCGCTGCCCGGTTGCAGCGGCGTGGAGTGAACATCGCCGCTGGGGGAGAGACAAAGGCGGCCGGGCATGGAGCTGACCGATCCCACCCCCTCTGTGTGTAGCCACAGTGCCGGTAGCCTTCATAGGCACTGCTGCTGCTGCTGCTGCGACTCGCTACTAACCGCAGCACTTGCCCCAACAGTCTCTTCGAGGCTATACGGGGAATCTTTGTTTTTTTTGGGTGGGTGAGCGAGCGGGTGGGTGACTGGGTGAGTTGCTAGGCGAGTGTCTGGGCGGGTGAGTGACTTGGTGAGTGGATGACTGGGTGGGTGAGTGAGTGGGTGAGTGACTGAGTGAGTGACTCACTCAGTCACTCACTCACTCACTCAGTGAGTGAGTGGCTGGGGGAGTGGCTGAGTGAGTGACTGAGTGAGTGAGTGACTGGGTGAGTGACTGAGTGAGTGACTGAGTGAGTGACTGAGTGAGTGACTGGGTGAGTGACTGGGTGAGTGACTGAGTGAGTGACTGGGTGAGTGACTGGGTGAGTGACTGAGTGACTGAGTGAGTTAGTGGAGTGAGTGAGTGGCTGGGGGAGTGGCTGAGTGAGTGACTGAGTGAGTGACTGGCGGGATCTTTGTTTTTTGTTCCCCCCACCCCTCCCCCCCCGCCCGCCCCCTCCCCCCCACCTCTAGGAATCCAATGGGCCCCAGCGTGGGGCCCTATTCCCGGACTCGTGGGGGCCCTCGCCTGGGCCACGTGGCCCCGGGCAGGGAACCGTCGCTATGGCGGTGGCGGCGGTGACCCCCCGGGACTCATGAAGCTCCTGGGGACGGTCCCCGCTTGGGTCCTGCCCTGGGGGGCCCTGGGGCTCTCGGAGCTGTTCGTCCCGGGGGCCCCCACCCTCACGGGGGGCCTGGCGGCCCTCGTGGGCATCGCCCGTATCCTAACCAGGGTGACGGAACCCCCGGCGGTGCTGCCCTCTCCGCTGCTGAGCGAGTTGTTGTGCAGTTGAAATCAACTGCGGCTGCTTTGTCCATTTCTGAGCGAGTGTTTGTGCAGTTGAAATCAACTGCAGCTGCTTTGTCCATTTCTGAGCGAGTGTTTGTGCAGTTGAAATCAACTGCAGCTGCTTTGTCCACTTCTGAGCGAGTGTTTGTGCAGTTGAAATAAACTGCAGCTGCTTTGTCCACTTCTGAGCGAGTGTTTGTGCAGTTGAAATCAACTGCGGCTGCTTTGTCCATTTCTGAGCGAGTGTTTGTGCAGTTGAAATCAACTGCAGCTGCTTTGTCCATTTCTGAGCGAGTGTTTGTACAGTTGAAATCAACTGCAGCTGCTTTGTCCACTTCTGAGCGAGTGTTTGTGCAGTTGAAATAAACTGCAGCTGCTTTGTCCACTTCTGAGCGAGTGTTTGTGCAGTTGAAATCAACTGCGGCTGCTTTGTCCATTTCTGAGCGAGTGTTTGTGCAGTTGAAATCAACTGCAGCTGCTTTGTCCACTTCTGAGCGAGTGTTTGTGCAGTTGAAATCAACTGCGGCTGCTTTGTCCATTTCTGAGCGAGTGTTTGTGCAGTTGAAATCAACTGCAGCTGCTTTGTTCACTTCTGAGCGAGTGTTTGTGCAGTTGAAATCAACTGCAGCTGCTTTGTCCACTTCTGAGCGAGTGTTTGTGCAGTTGAAATCAACTGCGGCTGCTTTGTCCACTTCTGAGCGAGTGTTTGTGCAGTTGAAATCAACTGCAGCTGCTTTGTCCACTTCTGAGCGAGTGTTTGTGCAGTTGAAATCAACTGCAGCTGCTTTGTCCACTTCTGAGAGAGTGTTTGTACAGTTGAAATCAACTGCAGCTGCTTTGTCCACTTCTGAGCGAGTGTTTGTGCAGTTGAAATCAACTGCAGCTGCTTTGTCCACTTCTGAGGGAGTGTTTGTACAGTTGAAATCAACTGCAGCTGCTTTGTCCACTTCTGAGGGAGTGTTTGTACAGTTGAAATCAACTGCAGCTGCTTTGTCCACTTCTGAGCGAGTGTTTGTGCAGTTGAAATCAACTGCGGCTGCTTTGTCCACTTCTGAGCGAGTGTTTGTGCAGTTGAAATCAACTGCAGCTGCTTTGTCCACTTCTGAGGGAGTGTTTGTGCAGTTGAAATCAACTGCAGCTGCTTTGTCCACTTCTGAGCGAGTGTTTGTGCAGTTGAAATCAACTGCAGCTGCTTTGTCCATTTCTGAGCGAGTGTTTGTGCAGTTGAAATCAACTGCAGCTGCTTTGTCCACTTCTGAGCGAGTGTTTGTGCAGTTGAAATCAACTGCAGCTGCTTTGTCCACTTCTGAGCGAGTGTGCAGTTGAAATCAACTGCAGCTGCTTTGTCCATTTCTGAGCGAGTGTTTGTGCAGTTCAAACCCACTGCAGCTGCTTTGTCCACTTCTGAGCGAGTGTTTGTGCAGTTGAAATCAACTGCAGCTGCTTTGTCCACTTCTGAGCGAGTGTTTGTGCAGTTGAAATCAACTGCAGCTGCTTTGTCCACTTCTGAGCGAATGTTTGTGCAGTTGAAATCAACTGCAGCTGCTTTGTCCATTTCTGAGCGAGTGTTTGTGCAGTTGAAATCAACTGCGGCTGCTTTGTCCACTTCTGAGCGAGTGTTTGTGCAGTTGAAATCAACTGCAGCTGCTTTGTCCACTTCTGAGCGAGTGTTTGTGCAGTTGAAATCAACTGCAGCTGCTTTGTCCACTTCTGAGCGAGTGGTTGTGCGTTCGTCATCTTGAACCAAGGTGATGTTACGTCCCAGTGTCTGCAAAAACTCCTTGACTTCAAACCAACACCGCAACCACCGCCATCTACACCATTACCATCACAACCACCACCATCAACACCGTTACCATCACAACCACCACCATCTACACCATTACCGTCACAACCACCACCATCTACACCATTACCATCACAACCATCAACACCGTTACCATCACAACCACCACCATCTACACCGTTACCGTCACAACCATCACCGTCAACACCGTTACCATCACAACCACCACCATCTACACCATTACCGTCACAACCATCACCATCAACACCGTTACCATCACAACCACCACCATCTACACCATTACCATCACAACCATCACTGTCAACACCGTTACCATCACAACCATGACCGTCAACACCGTTACATTCATCACCATCACAACCACGTCCATCATTTAAACCCGCTATCATCATCACCCACTCCACCACCACCACCTCCATGACCACTGCTGCCACCTCCTCCACCTCTTCCATCAACTCCATGACCACCTCCTACACCTCATCCACTACCACCACCACCTCTACCATCACCACCACCTCCACCACCTCCTCCACCACCACCACCACCTCCTCCTCCACCACCTCCTCTACCTCCACCCCCACCTCCTCCTCCACCACCTTCACCACCTCTACCTCCACCACCTCCTCCACCACCACCACCATCACCTCCACCACCTCCTCCACCACCTCCACCACCACCACCTCGCTCTCCCCAGTTCACTGTGGAATCTGCGAGCGCCTCTTCCCGTCCCCGGCGTCCCTCGCCTCCCTCGAGCGCTGGGTGGTGGTGCGCTGGGTGGTGCCTCGCTGGGTACGTGTCGTGCCCAGCCACTGCGGTCACTCGTCGCTGCCCACTCACCGGTAACGAAGACAACGCCACCCACCCACCTACCACCACCACCACCACCACCACGGGTTTGTGTCTGTTGTTGTTGTTGTGTTTCATTGTTGATGTTGTCGTGTCTGTTACGTTGTGCATTTGTTGTGTTTGTTGCAATGTGTTTGTCGTGTTGTGTTTATTGCGTTGTTTGTTGTGCTGTGATTGTTGTGTTTGTCTGCTATGATAATTGTTTTTTTACCCTTTTATCTGACAACAAAACTGACACCTTTTTTACAAGGAGTCATGTTTGCATTGACCACGATACCTGCGGTCGGAATGCAAACAAAAAACACCAACTCTGATCATGTATGTACTGCCCTTGAAATTGATTGGTCCACACCCGAGACAGCTTTTCTTAGAGCCTAGTCTCACGTGGTGTTGGACCAGATGACGCCAAAAGGCGCACAACTCAAAGACAATGCACCATCAGAGTATGAGAGCTCATCCTATGTTGTGTGTGTGTGCTATGGTTGTGTTTGTCTGCGATGTTGTGTTTGTCTGCTATGGTTGTGTGTGCTATGATTGTGTTTGTGTGCCGGACGGGCAATGCTGTCGTGGTTAGTGCTGTGGGGGGAGGGCCAATTCCAATTGACCTTTCTCCTCATGGCGCTTGTGACTACCACAGCGGCTAAATGGGGGCTCTGGACGGGTGCAAGGGGCTGGTAACCCCACCACTTTCAATTAACTTACCGTTAAATCACGACGACAAAATTTAACACCATTGGAACCTCATTTGCCAGTGAAAAATATGATAATTGGTGTTTTACCCTTTTATCTGGCAACAAAACTGACATACTTTTTTACAAGGAGTCATAACTCTGATAATGTATGCACTGTCCTTGAAGTTGATTGGTCCACACCCGAGACAGATTTCCTTAGAGCCTAGTCTCACATGGTGTTGGACCAGATGACGCCAAAAGGCGTGTTGCCACGTGGAATGTTCGAACGCTCACTGCGGAGGAGAGGCTGCCACTCCTCTGTCGGGAGCTAGACCAGTACCGCCTGGATCTCTGTGGTATTCAGGAGGTCCGGTGGACCGGTTCTGGCTCCTGCCACCATGAGGGGTGGACAGTCCTCTACTTGGGGCAGGAGACTGCCAAACAACAGGGTGTGGCTCTTCTTCTGAACAAAATAATGAAGGGGGCGTGGGAGCGTGGCGGTGAGGTGTGGGAAGCTGTAAGCCCTAGGCCGGAGGCGAGGAGTGGTGGTCGTGGTTACTTATGCCACCACTGAAGACGAACATCCGTGGAGGGATGCAGGCAAGGCCGATGAGCCAGATGCCTTCTATGACCTCCTGTCACAGGTGCTGGATAAAGTGGCCCCTCGGGATAGAGTCATCTTGTTGGGTGACTTCAATGCCCGAGTTGGTTATGATGCTGGCACCTGGTCTGGAGTAATTAGAAGGCATGGGCCAGATCAGCTCAATAACAACGGCAGGAGGCTGCTAGATTTTTGTGCAGCCTATGGGCTTGTAATTACCAACACGCTATTCCGGCATCGGCGCATCCACACTACATCATGGATGCATGCCGGGTCCAAGCAAGAGCATCTGCTGGACTACATAGTGACGGACCAGCGGATGCGAGCCCATGTCCTTGACACCAGGATCTACCGTGGAGCTGATCTGCCCACTAACCATCGACTTGTCATCTGTAAGACGCGCCTGCCATTCTTCCACTCCGGTGATGGGTGTACACCCAGGACCCCATTCAAACCCTTAGTGGGATGGTAAGCCAGGAGGCAACATCGGCCTCTGTGGAGGAGGCTTGTGAAGGACGCTGCTGGGCAGTTGGAGGCAGTCGCCCTCCAACAACAATGGAGGGCGGAGGAGCGACACTCACAACAACGAGCGGAGCTCTGGGTGGCTATAGCACAGCAAGTTGGCACAGTAGGGGGCACAGGTGGTGCATCAGCCAGTCATCTCAGTCATCTCAGTCAGTCGACCCGTGGCACCTGCTGGGTCTGCCCCGTGACCTCCTGCCAGCGGGCGTTCGACACTTCACGTGTCAGCCTCAAGGTGCACACAGCCTGGCACAAGCGTCGTGGTGACGTCACTGCCACTTAGTTGCGAATGGCGGTTGTTGTTGTTGTGTTTGTGTGCTCCCTTCCCTCCAGCTACAATCCTCCGGCGGGCTCCTACCCCACCCAGCCTCCGCCCATGTCCACCACCACCGCCGGCCCTCCTTCCCACCACCACCACAACGTCCCCACGACGTCGCATGGACGACCACCACCACCACCACCTCCTCCTGTCCACTACTGGGGCGTTGGCAGCTCCGCCATCACCACCGGCCCTCCTCCTCCCCACCACCAGCACCACCACCACCTCGCCAACGTCCCCACGACGTCACACGGACGACCTCCTCCTGTCAGCTACTGGGGCGACGGAGCGGCCGGTCGTCACGGCGACGAGGAGGAGCACGGGGAGGAGGAACGGCGACTCGACGAGGTGATGCTGAGGGCGGCCATCGCCGCCTCCCTGGCCGAGGGAGGAGGTGGAGGTGGTGGAGGTGAAGGAGTCGCAGAAATCCCACAAAACTCCGTGTCGGCGTTCAGGTGAGCTGGCGTTGTGGTGCCTCAGATGTCAGAGAAAGTTGTCGCCCCCTGTGAGTGAGTGGGTGGATGGGTGGTGTTGTGGCGCCTCAGATATCAGAGGAAGTAGTCACCCCCTGTGAGTGAGTGGGTGGGTGAGTGGATGGCGTTGTGGTGCCTCAGATATCAGAGGAAGTAGTCACCCCCTGTGAGTGAGTGGGTGGGTGGGTGGTGTTGTGGTGTCTCAGATATCAGAGGAAGTAGTCACCCCCTGTGAGTGAGTGAGTGGGTGGGTGGTGTTGTTGTGGTGCCTCAGATATCAGAGGAAGTAGTCACCCCCTGTGAGTGAGTGGGTGGGTGGGTGGTGTTGTGGTGCCCTCATTCTCCTCTCTGCTGTCCCAGCTGGAGGGATTCCGCGACGGTTTCCCTGGCAGAATGAAGTTCAACAAACACATCACCACCATCACCACCACCACCATCACTATCATCGCCATCATCACCATCATCATCATCACCACCACCACCACCACCATCACCGCCACCATCACCATCATCACCACCACCATCACCGCCACCATCACCATCATCACCACCACCATCATCACCACCACCATCACCATCATCACCACCATCACCATCATCGCCACCACCACCACCACCATCACCGCCACCATCACCATCATCGCCACCATCATCGCCACCATCACCATCATCACCACCACCATCACCACCATTGTTATAACGATCCCCCATCTGCCCCTCCCCTCTGCCCCACCCTCGTGCCCCACCCCACCTGTGCCCCTCCCCCCCCCGTGCCCCACCCCCTGTGCCCCACCCCCCCGTGCCCCCCCCCCTCCCCTGCCCCTCCCCCCGTGCCCCACCCCCCCTCTGCCCCTCCCCCCCCCGTGCCCCACCCACTGTGCCCCACCCCCCGTGCCCCCCCCCCCCAGGCTGTCCCAGCTGGAGGCGATGGGCTTCCCGCGGGCCCCCTCGGTGGTGGCGCTGGCCGCCTCACGTGGGGGCCGCGTGGAGGGGGCCGTGGGGCTGCTGGCCGAGGGGGGGGTCGGGGTGGAGGCGCGCGTCACAGCGGGACACCACAACCACCACCACCACAACCACCACCACCACAACCAGGAGGAGTGTAGCAGCCACCAGCAGCACCACCATCACGTGCACTGTCAGCATCAGCACTAGACGTGGATACTGAAACCATCATCAGCATCAGCAGCAGCATCAGCATCACCACAGGTTCTGTGTGGGGTTGAGGGGTTCTGCATCGGATGGAACATTGGCAGGGATCAGGGCTCCGTCTGGGACGCGAGGCCTCTGTCTGTCGAGCGTTTTTTAGACTCTGACGGCAGTAAACGGGGTTACGCATCACTGCTGTGGCTACGCACGTACCCGCCTTGGACTTCTTTCGCACCATACTTAGCTCGCCGTGCTGGTCTGTGGGTGTCTGAGTGTCTGTATGTGTCTCTCTGTGTGGGTCTCTGTGGGTGTCTCTGGGTCTGAGTGTCTCTGGGGGTGTCTCTGTGGGTGTCTCTGATAAAACACACCAGTACTGGCAGATAATAGAAAAGTTTTGTTTAATGTTGGTATGCAACACGCAACACCATCACGCAACACCACCACCACGCCCGGCCGCCTTTGTCTCTCCCCCAGTGCAAGCGATGTTCATTACACCACCACCACTACTACACCAAGTAGCTCATTTGAGGCTGAGTCGACCTAGGGGAGGCCCAGTACCGGTTCAGAGAATCGTCACTGAGTGGTGTTGGCCATGAGCGGGAATTGAACTCGGGTGGCCAGATTCGGCGCACAGTGTAGCGCTAACCACAACACCCACCACTCCCTACACACACACAGATACACAGTGGCACAACAACAACCGCCATTCGCCACTAAGTGGCGGTGACGTCACCACGACGCTTGTGCCAGGCCATGTGCACAGTGGCACACACAGTGCGCTAACCACTACACCCACCACTCCTACACACTGTCTCTCGGTCTGCTGTTGTGGTGGCGGTGGTGGCGGCGGCGGCGGCGGTGGCCGTCAGCAGCGTCCACCGCCTCCGGCCTCACCTCTTGGCCATCTTGAGCTGCTTGTGCTTGGGGGGCGCCCATCGCAGACACATCGAGTCCACTGCAAAGACAAAGGTCACCCGCGTAGCTTCTCTCAAAGAACGCAGGGGCAAGTGCTGCGAGTTCGCCGCAGAGTCTACGAAGGCCAGAACCGTGGCGCGCACACAGGCGCCACTACAACCACCACCACTACCCCGCCCACCACCACCACGCTCACCACCATCCCACCACCACCACCACCCAATAGGTGACCCCCCTGGGCTGGACCGGCACGCTACCTGTGACGGGTGAGGGCTTGTCCGCTCCTTAGTCCAAAACTTACCATCCACTAATCAGCCGTTAACCAGCCATTAACCGCCCGCTGACCCCTGCTGACCTGTGACGGGCGGGCGCTTGTACTGTGCGCTCTTGAGGTGCTCCTCCACCAGCTTGGGCGTGACGCAGATCACGTGCTGACCCTTCCAGTACTTCACCATGCTCATGGCCTGCAGCGACGACACGATGTCGCCCTGCGAGATGCTCGTCATCTGGCTAAGGTGGGGGGGGGGGGGGGGGGGGCGGCACAGGAAGTGAGAGGGAGAAGGGGGCGGGGCACAGGAAGTGAGAGAGAAGGGGGCGGGGCACAGGAAGTGAGGGGGAGAAGGGGGCGGGGCACAGGAAGTGAGGGGGAGAGAAGGGGGCGGGGCACAGGAAGTGAGGGGGAGAAGGGGGCGGGGCACAGGAAGTGAGGGGGAGAAGGGGGCGGGGCACAGGAAGTGAGAGGGAGAGAAGGGGGCGGGGCACAGGAAGTGAGGGGAGAAGGGGGCGGGGCACAGGAAGTGAGAGGGGGAGAAGGGGGCGGGGCACAGGAAGTGAGAGGGAGAGAAGGGGGCGGGGCACAGGAAGTGAGAGGGAGAGAAGGGGGCGGGGCACAGGAAGTGGGAGAAGGGGGCGGGGCACAGGAAGTGAGGGAGAAGGGGGCGGGGCACAGGAAGTGAGGGGGAGAAGGGGGCGGGGCACAGGAAGTGAGGGGGAGAAGGGGGCGGGGCACAGGAAGTGAGGGGGAGAAGGGGGGCGGGGCACAGGAAGTGAGAGAGAAGGGGGCGGGGCACAGGAAGTGAGGGGGAGAAGGGGGCGGGGCACAGGAAGTGAGGGGGAGAAGGGGGCGGGGCACAGGAAGTGAGAGAGAAGGGGGCGGGGCACAGGAAGTGAGGGGGAGAAGTGGGCGGGGCACAGGAAGTGAGAGGGAGAGAAGGGGGCGGGGCACAGGAAGTGAGAGGGAGAGAAGGGGGCGGGGCACAGGAAGTGAGAGGGAGAGAAGGGGGCGGGGCACAGGAAGTGAGAGAAGGGGGCGGGGCACAGGAAGTGAGAGAAGGGGGCGGGGCACAGGAAGTGAGGGGGAGAAGGGGGCGGGGCACAGGAATTGAGGGGGAGGAAGGGGGCGGGGCACAGGAAGTGAGAGAGAGAGAAGGGGGCGGGGCACAGGAAGTGAGGGGGAGAAGGGGGCGGGGCACAGGAAGTGAGGGGAGAAGGGGGCGGGGCACAGGAAGTGAGGGAGAAGGGGGCGGGGCACAGGAAGTGAGAGAGAGAGAAGGGGGCGGGGCACAGGAAGGTGAGGGGGAGAAGGGGGCGGGGCACAGGAAGTGAGGGGAGAAGGGGGCGGGGGCACAGGAAGTGAGGGAGAAGGGGGCGGGGCACAGGAAGTGATGAGAAGGGGGCGGGGCACAGGAAGTGAGAGAAGGGGGCGGGGCACAGGAAGTGAGGGGAGAAGGGGGCGGGGCACAGGAAGTGAGGAGAAGGGGGCGGGGCACAGGAATTGAGAGGGAGAAGGGGGCGGGGCACAGGAATTGAGAGGGAGAAGGGGGCGGGGCACAGGAAGTGAGAGAAGGGGGCGGGGCACAGGAAGTGAGGGGGAAGAAGGGGGCGGGGGCACAGGGAAGTGAGGGGGAGAGAAGGGGGGCGGGGCACAGGAAGTGAGAGAGAGAAGGGGGCGGGGCACAGGAAGGAGGAGAAGGGGGCAGAGAAGGGGGCGGGGCACAGGAAGTGAGGAGAGGAGAAGGGGGCGGGGCACAGGAACCAGTGAGGAGAGAGAGAAGGGGGCGGGGCACAGGAAGTGAGGGGGAGAAGGGGGCGGGGCACAGGAAGTGAGGGAGAGAAGGGGGCGGGGCACAGGAAGTGAGAGAGAGAAGGGGGCGGGGCACAGGAAGTGAGAGGGAGAAGGGGGCGGGGGCACAGGAAGTGATGGGGAGAAGGGGGCGGGGCACAGGAGGAAGAGAGAAGGGGGCGGGGCACAGGAAGGTGAGGGGGGAGAAGGGGGCGGGGCACAGGAAGTGAGGGGGAGAAGGGGGCGGGGCACAGGAAGTGAGGGGGAGAAGGGTGCGGGGCACAGGGAAGTGAGGGGGAGAAGGGGGGCGGGGCACAGGAAGTGAGGGGAGGAGAAGGGGGCGGGCAACAGGAAGTGAGGGAGAAGGGGGCGGGGCACAGGAAGTGAGGGGAGAGAAGGGGGCGGGGCACAGGAAGTGAGGGGAGAAGGGGGGCGGGGGGCACAGGAAGTGAGAGGGAGAGAAGGGGGCGGGGCACAGGAAGTGAGGGGTGAGAAGGGGGCGGGGCACAGGAAGTGAGAGAGAGAGAAGGGGGCGGGGCACCGGAAGTGAGAGAAGGGGGCGGTGGGCACAGGAGTGAGAGAGAGAAGGGGGCGGGTGCACAGGAAAGTGGGAGATGAGAGAAGGGGGCGGGGCACAGGAAGTGAGGGGGAGAAGGGGGCGGGGCACAGTAAGTGAGGGGGAGAAGGGGGCGGGGGCACAGGAAGTGAGGGAGAAGGGGGCGGGGCACAGGAAGTGAGGGAGAGAAGGGGGCGGGCACAGGAATTGAGGGGGCGAAGGCGGGCGGGGCACAGGAAGTGAGAGGAGAGAAGGGGGCGGGGCACAGGAATTGAGGGGAGAAGGGGGCGGGGCACAGGAAATGAGGGGAGAAGGGGCCGGGGCACAGGAATTGCGGAGAGAAGGGGCGGGCACAGGAATTGAGGGGAGAAGGGGGGCGGGGCACAGGAATTGAGGGGGAGAAGGGGGCGGGGCACAGGAAGTGAGGGGGAGAAGGGGCGGGCACAGGAAGTGAGGGGGAGAAGGGGCGGGGCACAGGAAGTGAGGGGGAGAAGGGGGCGGGGCACAGGAAGTGAGAGAAGGGGGGGGGGCACAGGAAGTGAGAAGGGGGGCTACACAGGAAGTGAGACAGAGAAGGGGGCGGGGCACAGGAAGTGAGGGGGGGGCTACACAGGAAGTGAGGGGGGGGGGGTGTCACCTGAGGTCGCGTATGGAGAGGGTGAGAGAGAAGGGGGCTAAACAGGAAGTGAGGGGGGCACAGGAAGTGAGAGGGGGGGCTAAACAGGAAGTGAGGGGTGAGGGGGGGGGCACAGAAAGTGAGGGGGGGCTACACAGGAAGTGAGGGGGGTCAGGGGGGTGAGGGGTCACCTGAGGTCGCGTATGGAGAGGGTTCCGCGGAAGTCCCGTAGGATCTCCAGCAGCACCCAGGACCAGTAGCTGCGGTAGCTCAGTTTGCCCAGGTCGCTCAGCGGCTTCTCCGGGGAGCCCACCGTCTGCTCCAGCTTGGACAGCTCGTAGCCTGCACACGGGGGGGGGGGGGGGGGATGTGGGGGGAGAGGGGAGGGGGGGGAGAGGGGGGGGGATGGGAGAGAGGGGGGGAGAGTGGGGAGAGGGGAGGAGGGGGAGAGGTGGAGAGATGTGGGGGGAGGGAGAGGGGGGAAAGGGGGTGATGGGAGAGAGGGAGGAGAGGGAGATGTGGGGGAGAGGGGGGGAGTTGTGGGGGGAGGGGGTGATGGGGGGGGGGGAGATGTGGGGGGGGAGAGGGGGGGGAGTTGTGGGGGGAGAGATGTGGGGGGGAGAGGGGAGGGGGGAGTTGTGGGGGGAGGGGGAGATGTGGGGGAGATGTGTAGCCACTGCTGCTACTAACCACAGCACTTGCCCCTGCAGCCCTGCTAGAGGCTACCCGGGGGAGCTGTGCCTGTGTGTGTCTGTGTGTGTGTGTCTGTGTGTGTGTCTGTGTATGTGTGTCTGTGTGTGTCTGTGTGTGTCTGTGTGTGTGTGTGTGTCTGTGTGTGTCTGTGTGTGTGTGTCTGTTTGTGTCTGTATCTGTGTGTATGTATGTGTGTGTGTCTGTGTGTGACTGTGTGTGTCTGTGTGTGTCTGTGTGTGTCTGTGTGTGACTGTGTGTGTCTGTGTGTGTCTGTGCGACTCACTGAAGGCGATGAGGAACTTGCCGTAGCCGCGCCGCTGGTGAGGAGGCAGCGTGAGGATGCAGGCCACATTGTTGCCGTCCGGGGACTCCTTCTCCTGCAGCATCATCATCAACATCATCACCACCACCACCACCACCACCTCCACCACCACCTCCATCACCATCACCTCCACCACCATCTCCACCACCACCAACAACTCTTCCTCCTCCACCACCACCACCACCACCTCCTCCACCACCACCACCACCTCTTCTTCCTCCTCCTCCTCCTTCACCACCTCCCACTCCACCACCACCACCACCTCCACCACCTCCTCCACCACCTCCTCCTCCACCACCACCACCTCCTCCACCACCACCACCACCTCCAGCACCAACACCTCCACCACCTCCACCTCCTCTTTCATCACCACCACCACCACCTTCACCACCACCTTCACCACCATCACCTGCACCACCATCACCTCCACCACCACCACCACCTTCACCACAACCTTCACCACCACCACCTCCTCCATCACCTGCACCACCACCACCACCACCTCCACCACCACCACCATCATCACCTCCACCACCACCACCACCTGCACCACAACCTTCACCACCACCACCTCCTCCATCACCTGCACCACCTCCACCACCACCACCTCCACCACCACCACCTCCTCTCTCGCACCTTAGAGAAGTAACCGACGAGGTGAGCGCCGAGGCGGTCGACCTCGGTGAGGACGTAGAAGATGAACGGCTCCACGTCAAAGTAGAGCGTCTTGTGGTCCAGGAAGAGCTTCGCCAGCAGACACAGGTTCTGGCAGTAGATCTGCGGGGTAACCATCACCACCATCATCATCATCATCACTATCATCATCATCATCACTACCATCATCAACATCACCATCATCATCATCACCAACATCATCATCATCACTATCATCATCATCATCACTACCTACATCATCACAACCATCACCAACATCACCACCATCATCATCACTACCTACATCATCACTATCATCATCATCATCATCACTACCACCATCATCATCACCACCATCACTGCTACAGGAAGAGCTTCGCCAGCAGACACAGGTTCTGGCAGTAGATCTGCGGGGCAACCATCACCACCATCACTACCACCATCATCATCATCACTACCACCATCAACATCACCACCATCACAACCACCATCACCATCATCATCACCAGTGTAGTGACATAAGAAGGGAGGGGCTGCTGGGGGCTCTGGGTTCCCAGGTGGGTCCAGACGCTTAAGCCTCTGGGCGCCAGGCGCTGGGTTCCCAGGCGCTTAAGCCTTATGGCGCAGCCAACGGGGGGGGGGCTGTGTGTGCTCTGTGGGATGTCTGGTGGCGCACACGGCCCCACCCCTCGTTGGACTAGGCATAAAAAGGGGAGCTCCCTGGACGATCGGGGCGAGTTGTAACTCAAGACCCAAGACCCACGACCAGCCATCTGAAGACCCTGGGATGTTGTGAGAGCCAGCGCTGGGACTCTGGAACTCCCGACTCTACGACCTTGTGAGGGCGAGTTCCAGAGCGTAGCCAGAGTAGTGTATCTAGGCTGTGTACCTAGGCTGTGTACCTAGGCTGTAACAGAGTATCAGGACTGTTGGAGTGTTGTGTTGTAATAAAGAAGTTACCTCTACAAGTGTCTCCGGAACCCGTTACACCAGCATCACCATCACCACCATCATCCCCATCACTACCATCATCACCATAATCACCATCACCACTAGCATCATCACCATCACTACCATCATCATCACACTACCACTACCACCATCAACATCACCACCATCACCACCACCTCCACTACCACCACCACCACCACCATCATCATCATTACCACCATCATCAACATCATCAACATCATCATCATCACCACCCCATCACCACCATCACCACCACCACCATCATCATCACTACCACCATCATCAACATCATCATCATCAACATCACCACCATCACCACCACCATCATCACCACCACCACCATCACCACCATCACCACTACCATCACCACCACCACCATCACCACCATCACCACCACCACCATCATCACCACCATCACCACCACCACCACCATCACCATCACCACCACCATCACCACCACCACCATCACCACCATCACCACCACCATCACCACCATCACCACCACCATCACCACCTCCACCACCATCACCACCACCATCACCACCTCCACCACCATCACCACCATCATCATCACCATCATCACCACCATCACCACCACCATAATCAACACCATCACCACCACCACCATCACCACCATCACCACCTCCACCACCATCACCACCATCACCACCTCCACCACCATCACCACCATCACCACCTCCACCACCATCACCACCATCATCACCACCACCATAATCAACACCATCACCACCATCACCACCATCACCATCACCACCTCCACCACCATCACCACCACCATCACCACCTCCACCACCATCACCACCATCATCATCACCATCATCACCACCATCACCACCACCATAATCAACACCATCACCACCATCACCACCACCACCACCTCCACCACCATCACCACCATCACCACCTCCACCACCATCACCACCATCACCACCTCCACCACCATCACCACCATCACCACCACCACCTCCACCACCATCACCACCATCACCACCTCCACCACCATCACCACCATCATCACCACCACCATAATCAACACCATCACCACCATCACCACCACCACCACCATCACCACCACCACCTCCACCACCATCACCACCACCATCACCACCTCCACCACCACCACCACCATCATCATCACCACCATCACCACCTCCACCACCATCACCACCATCATCATCACCATCACCACCACCATCACCACCTCCACCACCATCACCACCATCATCATCACCATCATCACCACCATCACCACCACCATAATCAACACCATCACCACCATCACCACCACCACCACCATCACCACCACCACCTCCACCACCATCACCACCATCACCACCTCCACCACCATCACCACCACCACCTCCACCACCATCACCACCATCACCACCTCCACCACCATCACCACCATCACCACCTCCACCACCATCACCACCACCATCACCACCTCCACCACCATCACCACCATCACCACCACCACCACCATCACCACCACCACCTCCACCACCTCCACCATCATCACCACCATCACCACCACCATCAACACCATCACCACCATCACCTCCACCACCATCACCACCATCACCACCATCACCACCACCACCACCATCACCACCACCACCACCATCACCACCATCACCTTGTGGTCCCTGCCGTCCACCTCGTACACGGAGATGTTCAACTTGCGGTAGATCTCCTTGCCGGGAGGCTGCCTCCACTGGCACTGAGTCTGGGGGGGGGGAGGGGGGGGGTGAGGGGGGGGGGGGTGAGGGGGGGGGGGTGAGGGGGGGGGGGTGAGGGGGGGGGTGAGGGGGGGGGGTGAGGGGGGGGGTGAGGGGGGGGGTGAGTGGTGGGGTGAGTGGTTAGTTGGGGGGTGAGTGGCGGGGTGAATGGTGAGTGGTGAGTGGTGGGGTGAGTGCTGGGGTGAGTGGTGGGGTGAATGGTGGGTGAGTGGTGGGGTGAGTAGTGGGTGAGCAGTGGGGTGAGTAGTGGGTGAGCGGTGGGGTGAATGGTGGGGTGAGTAGTGGGTGAGTAGTGGGGTGAGTGCTGGGGTGAGTAGTGGCTGAGCCCACCATCTCTTCCTCCCTCCTACTCCTCACCAGACAAACCCCCTCACCAGGTGAGCACCTCACCCCCCTCACCACCCACCCGCTCACCAGGTGCATGCGGTAGCTGGTCTCCAGCTTCATGTACTTGAGGCAGAACTCGCACACCCACAGGCGCGGCTGCTTGCCGTACTCGTCGGGGAACGGCGAGAAGTACCAGGCGTCGATCTCGTAGCGCCCCACCTGGATCTTGTCCACGTACTTTACCTTGGTGATCTACACGCGGATAGGGGGGGAGGTGAGGGGGGTGGGGAGCGACACGGACAGTGACACGTACGGACATCGTGAACCCCACCCACCCACACGGACATCGTGAACCCCACCCAGTGACACGGCCGTCGTGAACTCCACCCACCCACACGGCCATCGTGAACCCCACCCAGTGACACGGCCATCGTGAACCCCACCCACACGGCCGTCGTGAACCCCACTCACCCACACGGCCACCGTGAACCCCACCCAGTGACACAGCTACCATCGTGAACCCCACCCACTCACCACCCACACGGCCATCGTGAACCCCACTCACCCACATGGCCATCGTGAACCCCACTCACCCACACGGCCACCGTGAACCCCACCCACCCACACGGCCATCGTGAACCCCACTCACCCACATGGCCATCGTGAACCCCACTCACCCACACGGCCACCGTGAACCCCACCCACCCACACGGCCATCGTGAACCCCACTCACCCACACGGCCATCGTGAACCCCACCCACCCACACGGCCATCGTGAACCCCACTCACCCACACGGCCATCGTGAACCCCACCCACCCACACGGCCGTCATGAACCCCACCCACCCACACGGCCGTCGTGAACCCCACTCACCCACACGGCCATCGTGAACCCCACCCACCCACACGGCCACCGTGAACCCCACCCACCCACACGGCCGTCGTGAACCCCACCCACCCACACGGCCATCGTGAACCCCACCCACCCACACGGCCATCGTGAACCCCACTCACCCACACGGCCGTCGTGAACCCCACCCACCCACACGGCCATCGTGAACCCCACCCACCCACACGGCCATCGTGAACCCCACCCACCCACACGGCCATCGTGAACCCCACTCACCCACATGGCCGTCGTGAACCCCACCCACCCACATGGCCTTCGTGAACCCCACCCACCCACACGGCCATCGTGAACCCCACTCACCCACATGGCCGTCGTGAACCCCACCCACCCACACGGCCGTCGTGAACCCCACCCACCCACACGGCCATCGTGAACCCCACCCACCCACACGGCCATCGTGAACCCCACTCACCCACACGGCCGTCGTGAACCCCACCCACCCACACGGCCATCGTGAACCCCACTCACCCACACGGCCGTCGTGAACCCCACCCACCCACACGGCCATCGTGAACCCCACCCACCCACACGGCCATCGTGAACCCCACCCACCCACACGGCCATCGTGAACCCCACTCACCCACACGGCCATCGTGAACCCCACCCACCCACACGGCCATCGTGAACCCCACTCACCCACACGGCCATCGTGAACCCCACCCACCCACACGGCCATCATGAACCCCACCCAGTGACACGGCCATCGTGAACCCCACCCCACCCAGTGACACGGCCGTCGTGAACCCCACCCACCCACACGGCCATCGTGAACCCCACTCACCCACACGGCCGTCGTGAACCCCACCCACCCACACGGCCATCGTGAACCCCACCCACCCACACGGCCGTCGTGAACCCCACCCAGTGACACGGCCATCGTGAACCCCACCCACCCACACGGCCATCGTGAACCCCACCCACACGGCCATCGTGTACCCACCGCTTCATGCTCTTTCTCCAAGGCGGCTGTCGTGGGGTCCATCTCGGCGTAGGTCTGGACACACAGAAAAACATCACCACCACCACCACCATCATCGCCATCGCCACCACTGCCTCCATCACCACCATCGCCGCCATCATCATCATCACTCGCTAACAAGCGGGTGAACGGGCGAGCGACCGAGCGCCTGAGCGAGCGGGTGAGCAAGCGGCTGAACGAGCAAGTGGCTGAGCGTGGGAGTGGCTGAATGAGCAGGTGAGCGGACGGTTGAGTGCGTAAGCGGCTGACCGAACCAAGGGGCTGAGCGAGTGAGTGGCTGAATGAGTGGCCGAGCGAGCGAGCGGCTGAGCGAGCGGCTGAGCAAGCGGGTGAGTGAGCGGCTGAGTGAGCGAGCGAGCGACTAAGTGAGCGAGTGGCTGAGCGAGCGAGTGAACGATCAGCTGAGCGAGCGGCCGAGTGAGCGAGCGGCTGAGTGAGCGAGCGGCTGAGCGAGCGGGTGAGTGAGCAGCTAAGCGAGTGAGTGAGCGAGCGGCTGAGTGAGGGAGTGGTTGAGTGAGCGATCGGGTGAGTGAGCGAGCGGCTGAGCAAACGAGCGAGCGGCCGAGCAAGTGGGTGAGCGAGCGGCTGAGCAAGCGACCGACCGAGCAAGTGGGTGAGCGAGCGGCTGAGCGAGGGAGCGCTGGAGTGAGCGGGTGAGCGAGCGGGTGAGTGAGCGAGAGAGCGAGCGGCTGAGCGGGCTGTACTCTCCCCGCCCCGCGCCCACCTTCTGCACGTGGTTGATCTCGTCGTGCTTGCGCTTCTGGTTGCGGGTGATCTTGCGCTCGCCCGCCGGCTCCGAGCGCTCCCCCGGGTGGCGCTCACTGCCGGTGCCACCACCAGCGCCACCACCACCGCTGGCGCTCTTCTGCTGAGCAGCCTCCTTCAGCGTCTGGGTGAGCGCCAGGCGGTCCTTGCCCACCCATTCGTCCAGACGACGGTTGACTACGGGGAGAGGGGGTGGGTGAGTGGGTGGGTGAGTAGGTGAGTGGGTGGGTGGGTGAGTGGGTGGGTGAGTGGATGGGTGAGTGAATGAGTGGGTGAGTAGGTGAGTGAGTGGGTGAGCGGGTGAGTGAGTGGATGGGTGAGTGAATGAGTGGGTGAGTAGGTGAGTGAGTGGGTGAGCGGGTGAGTGAGTAGGTGGGTGGGTGAATGGGTGGGTGAGTGAATGAGTGGGTGAATGAGTGGGTGAGTAGGTGAGTGAGTGGGTCGGTGAGCGGGTGGGTGAGCGGGTGAGTGAGCGGGTGGGTGAGCGGGTGGGCGAGTGGGTGCGTGAGTGAGTGGGTGAGGGGTGAGTGGGTGAGGGGTGGGTGGGTGAGTGGGTGAATGAGTGGGTGGGTGAGTGGGTGAGTGAGTAGGTGGGTGGGTGAGTGGGTGAGTGAGCAGGTGAGTGAGTGGGTCGGTGAGTGGGTGGGTGAGTGAGCGGGTGGGTGAGCGGGTGGGCGAGCGGGTGGGTGAGGGGTGGGTGAGTGGGTGGGTGAGTTGAGTGGGTGAGTGGGTGAGTGAATGGGTGAGTGAGTGGGTGAGTGAATGGGTGAGTGAGTGGGTGAGTGAACGAGTGGGTGGGTGAGTGAGTGAACGAGTGAGTGAGTGAGAGCGAGCGAGTGAGCGTGCGAACGAGCGAGTGAGCGAGCGATGGACTCACATCCCACGTAGTGGACATAAAACTCGTCCCTCTCCTCCTGCTCATTCACTCGCTTCTGGATCACCTCCGCTGAGTCTGGAGACACACGGAGAGACAGAGACACACGGAGAGACACAAAGACAGACACACGGGGAGACACACGGTGAGACGCACGGGGAGACGCACGGAGAGACAGAGACACACGGGGAGACACACGGAGAGACACACGGTGAGACACATTGGGAGACACACAGTGAGACAGAAGGGGAGACACACTGAGAGACACACGGGGAGACACACGGGGAGACAGGGACACACAGAAACATGCGGACACGCGTGTGAGCCCAAGGTAACACCCAGGGTAGCGCGGATCCATCTCAGTACCATCAAAACTATAAACATGTGATTTGAACCTTTCGTGACTGCAGGGATCCATACTCTTTGGTTCTTTCGGTAAAGTCCACGTAGGTAGACAAATAAAACAAATCACGACGTTTCGATCGCAACACAAGCAATCCTCATCGGGTGGAACAAACGGCAGTCACGAAATCTTCAAATGAAGATTGAACCGCCACTACGGGGAGGGTTTCCACACACATCTGTTAGAGCCTTTAACAAGAAAGGCTCCCCCCACCTGATCGAGTCGCGAACCTTTTTGAAGAGATGCCGCGACAACACGGTATTAGCGACCACATTTACACTCGCCTGAGATGTTGACTACCTCGCCTGAGATGTTGACTACCTCGCTTGGTCTACAGGAGGTCGTGGTCTTGCTGTATATTTGGAGTCTGCGTCTCTCTCTCCCCGTGGTGAGACGTTGACTACCTCACCTGGTCTACAGGAGGTCGTGAGTCCTGCTGTTAATTTGGAGTCTCTCTCTCCCCGGGTTGAGATGTTGACTACCTCGCTTGGTCTACAGGAGGTCGTGGGTCCTGCTTTTAATTTGGAGTCTCTCTCTCCCCGGGTTGAGATGTTGACTACCTCGCTTGGTCTACAGGAGGTCGTGGGTCCTGTGGTATATTTGGAGTCTGTGTCTCTATCGCCGTGGTGAGATGTTGACTACCTCGCCTGGTATACAGGAGGTCGTGGGTCCTGCTTTTAATTTGGAGTCTGTGTTTCTCTCATCGTGGTGAGATGTTGACTACCTCGCCTGGTGTATACCACCTCCTCCACCACCACCTCAACCACCACCTCAACAACCACTATGACCACCACCATCACCACCACCATCTCCACCACTACCTCAACCAACTCCATCACCACCACCTCCACTACCTCCACCACCTCCTTCACCACCACCACCTCCTCCTCCACCACCACCACCACCACTACCACCTCCTCCACCTCCACCACCACCTCCACCACCTCCACCACTACCTCCTCCACTACCACCTCCACTACCACCTCCACCACTACCTCCACCACCACTATCACCACCACCACGACACCGCGAATACTCACGCCAGGCCCCGTCAGCCCTCCGACACAGATAGACTCCTCCGACGTCCACCCTCGTCTCCACCTCTCCTCCACCACCACCACCACCACCATCCGTAGCCTCAGCGTCTCTCCCCATCACCGCAGGAGTCACGGCGTCTCCCGCCATAGCCGCCGCTGTCGCTCCCGCCGCAGCCGCCGTAGACGACGACGATGTGGTGGACGATGTTGACGAGGTGGACGATGATGAGGAGGTTGTTGAGGTGGTTGTTGTTGTTGTTGTTGTGGTTGAGGTGGTAGTGGTGGACGAGGTGAGAGCGACGGCCGCCATATTGGGGGGGGGGAGTGAGCGCGCGCGCGCGCGCACAGACTTCTGACCGGAACCGGATGCTGGTGTGGGGGGTAGGGGGGCGGGGCGGGGCGAGGTAGGGGGGCGTGGTTTAAGGGGGCGGGGCGTGGCTGGAAGGGCGGGGCGAGAAAGGGGGCGGGGCAAAGGGGGTTGTGCCCGATAGAGAGTGGGACCCTATAGTGTAACATGGGGAGTGGGACCCTATAGTTTAACATGGGGAGTAGGACCCTATAGTTTAACATGGAGAGTGGGACCCTATAGTTTAACATGGGGAGTGGGACCCTATAGTTTAACATGGGGAGTAGGACCCTATAGTTTAACATGGAGAGTGGGACCCTATAGTTTAACATGGGGAGTGGGACCCTATAGTTTAACATGGGGAGTAGGACCCTATAGTTTAACATGGGGAGTGGGACCCTATAGTTTAACATGGGGAGTGGGACCCTATAGTTTAACATGGGGAGTAGGACCCTATAGTTTAACATGGAGAGTGGGACCCTATAGTTTAACATGGGGAGTGGGACCCTATAGTTTAACATGGGGAGTAGGACCCTATAGTTTAACATGGGGAGTGGGACCCTATAGTTTAACATGGGGAGTGGGACCCTATAGTTTAACATGGGGAGTAGGACCCTATAGTTTAACATGGGGAGTGGGACCCTATAGTTTAACATGGGGAGTGGGACCCTATAGTTTAACATGGGGAGTAGGACCCTATAGTTTAACATGGAGAGTGGGACCCTATAGTGTAACATGGGGAGTGGGACCCTATAGTTTAACATGGTGAGTGGGACCCTATAGTGTAACATGGGGAGTGGGACCCTATAGTGTAACATGGGGAGTGGGACCCTATAGTGTAACATGGGGAGTGGGACCCTATAGTGTAACATGGGGAGTGGGACCCTATAGTTTAACATGGGGAGTGGGACCCTATAGTGTAACATGGGGAGTGGGACCCTATAGTTTAACATGGGGAGTGGGACCCTATAGTTTAACATGGGGAGTGGGACCCTATAGTTTAACATGGGGAGTGGGACCCTATAGTGTAACATGGGGAGTGGGACCCTATAGTGTAACATGGGAGTGGGACCCTATAGTGTAACATGGGGAGTGGGACCCTATAGTTTAACATGGGGAGTGGGACCCTATAGTGTAACATGGTGAGTGGGACCCTATAGTGTAACATGGTGAGTGGGACCCTATAGTGTAACATGGGGAGTGGGACCCTATAGTGTAACATGGTGAGTGGGACCCTATAGTGTAACATGGTGAGTGGGACCCTATAGTGTAACATGGTGAGTGGGACCCTATAGTGTAACATGGGGTGGGACCTATAGTACATGGGGAGTGGGACCCTATAGTGTAACATGGGGAGTGGGACCCTATAGTGTAACATGGGGAGTGGGACCCTATAGTGTAACATGGGGAGTGGGACCCTATAGTGTAACATGGTGAGTGGGACCCTATAGTGTCACATGGGGGGAACCTATAGGAATGGGGAGGGCCCCTATAGTGTAACCATGGGGAGTAGGACCCTATAGTTTAACATGGGAACCCTATAGTTTAACATGGGGAGTGGGACCCTATAGTTTAACATGGGGACCCTATAGTTTAACATGGGAGTAGGACCCTATAGTTTAACATGGAACCTATAGTTTTACCATGGGAGGTGGACCCATAGTTAACATGGAACCCTATAGTTTCATGGTGAGTAGACCCTATAGTTAATATGGGAGTAGGGACCTATATATTTAATATGGGACCCGATAGTTTAACATGG